CTCCTCCTCCTCCTCCTCCTCCTCCTCCCCCTCCCGCTCCGGTGCTCGCCGCCGACTCTTGCAGCTGCAAGCCCCCCTTGGGGCAGCTCTCAATTTCACGGGGCCACGGCGGCCCACCGCTCGCGGGCCGGCCCCAGGCGTTCCCTCTCATATAGGCGCTAGGGGCAGACCCCTGGCAGGCAAGCCCCTCAGGGCAGCAGAAGAAAGTCGTGACGATACAACTTGGCACGGAAAAGGATGGGCACGGTGCCCAATTGCAGTTCTTGCTTACTTTGTACAGCACTCGCTGTCCGCGCCGCCGCGGACGTTCATCTTTCAACACGAAAAGCAGCCTGCCCAACAGCGGCCGCTGTCGGTGTTGGACACCATTTGTTGGAGGGCACTGTCCCCGTTCGTTCCACACTCATGTCGGGCGTCTAGAGAAAGCAGTTCGCCAGAGGGAGGAGGAGGAGGAGGAGGAGGAGGAGGGGTGGAGGAGGAGGAGGGGCAGGTAAAGAGAGGAGGAGGAGCAGGAGGCAGAGGTGGAGAAGGAGGGGGAGGGGGAGGGGGGAGGGGGAGTTGGAGGCGGAGGGAGTTGGGGGGGAGGGGAGGGGGAGGTGGTTGATGGGGGAGGGGGTGGGAGACGAGTGTGGAGGAGGAGTGGAGGAGTGAGGAGGAGGAGGAGGGATGATGCGAGGGAGGAGGAGGAGGAGGAGGAGGAGAGAGGAGGAGGAGGAGGAGGAGGAGGAGGAGGGAGGAGGGAGGTGGGAGGAGGAGGAGGAGGAGGGAGGAGGGAGGAGGAGGAGGAGGTGGAGGAGGTGTGGAGGAGGAGGAGGAGGAGAGAGAAAGGAGGAGAAAGGGAGGTGGAGGAGGAGGAGGAGGAGGTGGAGGAGGTGGAGGAGGAGGAGGTGAGGCAGGAGGGAGGCGGAGGAGGAGGAGGAGGAGGAGGAGGGCCCACGTACATCAGGTGATCGTTCTGCTGTGCGTCCCTTCTTCCCCCTCCTTTTACTTCTTGGTATTCGTGTGCACCTCCTACCGACCGATGGGAGTAGTTTTTGTTTTTTTTGGCCGATCGAGTCGGCACAGTCCGCAGCCTCGAGCCTCGAGGAGGAGGGAGGAGGATGAGGAGGAGGAGGAGGAGGAGGATGAGGAGGAGGAGGAGGGGGAGGGGGAGGGGGAGGGGGATGGGGAGGAGGAGGAGGGATGGAGGAACAGGATCAGACGGGGCTAGGACGAGGATGAATCCGTTCCAGAGCGTTCCAGATCGCTCTTAGAGCTTTCCGTACCGCTCGGAGAAAGCCGCGGCGCCCGAATCATCGTCATTCGTTTTTATCTTCGCCCTGGCGTCGTCTTACGGAGGAGGGGGAGACTTCCTACGCCAGGTTCCCAGGGGAGGATCGACCACACCTAGAGGGGGGTAGAGGGAAGGGGAAGGCTTCTTAGAAGCAGCCCTTCTTCTCAGAAGGCGCGGAGCACCCCTGTTTATCAGAAGGCTGGCGCCTTCTAAGAAGCAGCCTTCTTTAAGAAGCCTTTCCCCCCTACAGTAAACCCTAGCAGTAAGGATGATCGAGTTTCCCAGGGGTGCCCCTGCATCCTTGCCTCCTCGGTCATATCCAGTTCATCTCCAATCACTACATCCTTAATCATTCAGGACGAGGGTAGGTTTGTTTTAGAGCGTCCTGGAGGGCTCTCAGGGCGCTCTGGAACGCTCCGATGCGGCCGCGGGCGGCGCCCGAGACATCCTCCCGAGCCGCCAGATCTCGGAGAGCCTCGACTTGTCCTCACCCGATTTGGTATTCGTCCTGGCCTCGTCCTTCTTATCAAGCAGTGGCGAATCGTCCTGGCGTGCCTGTTGGCCTACCAAACCATGTTCTAAGAACCTTTTGTGGTTTCCACGACATGTTCGTAGAACATTTCTTGCTGGGGCTGTCTTGATTTATCACATCGGGATTATGTTCGAGGGCATTGTTCTTGTTCTTTGAACACTGTCGGGGTTCTAAGAACATTCCGTGGTAGCCCTGTAGGAATTCCGGGACGGTCGGTCCTTGCTCAATCTTGCTTGTGCCAGCAGAAGCCCGATGGGGTCCTGCGGCGCTCTGTTGGACCCTGGGTCGGGCGACTTTCGGTGCTGCCTGGGCAGGGGCCGGGCAGGGGCGGCGTGGGCGCGGCGGGGGGCCGTGGCGGCGCGCGGCGTGGCAGAGGAGGAAGGGAGGCAGCGATCATCTCGATGAGGGCCGATGGGCAGAGAGTGGCTCCCTCTGCAGGCCACCGAAGAAGGGACGTCAGGGTGGTCAAGCGCCACGCTGGTTGCGCCGACGAAGAGATGTGTAAGATCCAAGCGCTCGCTTATGTGCAAAGTTTTGGCTTGACGCCGGATGTGGTGCATCAATGTCAGCTTGACCGTACAGTTTGGCTGCGCCCCTTGACGTCCGTTTGAGGTGTTCTGCAGACCTGACCCCGGGGCCCTATTCAACAGCTATCAGTCATGCGAGTCCAAGACTGTGCAAGGGCTGCTGGGGCCGAGCATGATTCTAAGCCTCCCGGATGATGTCGAAGCAGATGGGGTCGCAGGATCGCGCCGCATCGCTGATGCCTCGCTGCTGCCGCTCGATGTGGAGCCACTCCTAGGGGAACGACGGATGGCATACTAATATTAACAACTCGGAGGTCCGCGCGGATTTCTCGGATCGGCGGTGGCCCCCCGGCCATGGCACGCGGAGCGCGCCAGGGGCGGCGCCGGAGGCGACGCCAGGGAGCCCCAGCGCCGATCCGAGAAATCTGCGTGGTCCTCCGAGATTGTTTATGTTGATACCATCCTTCGTTCCCCCACCTCCGACGGCGCCGATGCGGCGCCGTCGCAGGCCAGCCACAACTTGGGGAGCTGTGGTCCTTACCCCCCTGGGGGTCCCATCGATTTCAACACCCCTCTCGAGAGATCGTCGATGCGATGGGCTCCCCCAGGGGGTGTAAGGACCACAGCTCACCCAGTTGTGGCTGGTCGGCGTCGTCGACGCAGCACCGCCGATGCATCGGCGATGCGGCGACGCTTCGTCTCCAGGCCTCGGAGGAGGCCGCCGCCTCGCCGCCCCGGAGAGAGAGAGAGAGAGAGAGAGAGAGAGGAAACAACGCTTCGCCCCCGCGGGCGCGGCCTCAGCCAGGCGGGCCGCCGCGGTGCTGCTGCGCCTGGCCGCCGTGGCGGCCTGCGCCCGGGGGCGCGCCGTGAGCGGCGAGGCGGGCGGGCGCGCCGCGGAGGAGCGCCTCGGCCACGGGCGGGGGGGAGGAGGGGGAGGAGGAGGAGGGAGGAGGTGGAGGAGGAGGTAGGAGGGAGGTAGGAGGAGGAGGAGGAGGAGGAGGGGGAGGAGGAGGACGGTGGAGGAGGAGGAGGGGGAGGAGGAGGGGGTAGGGGGAGGAAGAGGAGGGAGGGTGGAGTGGGAGGAGGAGGAGGAGGGGGAGGAGGGGTCGGGGGAGGAGGGGATTGAGTAAGGGTGTAGGGAGGAGGAGGAGGAGGAGGAGGAGGAGGAGGAGGAGGAGGAGGAGGGTGGAGGGGTCGTCGTCGAACGATGGGAATGGCAATCCGCCGTCCTCAACTCACCGGCACCATCACATGCACTAGATTGCAGGCAAGAAGAGAGATGCACACATTAGAGAAGCAGCGCCTTCCTCCAGGCCAACTGCACAGGATCAGTGAAGCGGCCTGATGGGAGCGCAGCTGCAGGCTCCTCGAAGATACCAGAGACAGACACAGGCAACTGCGCGGGCCGCCGCAGCAGCGGCGCGGCGGGCCGCGCGACGTCGCCTGGCCTCCTCTCGGTGCGCGGTGATCCGCGCAAGCTGGGCGTCGGTGAGGGGGAGAGGCGACGGAGGGGGAGGGGGGGGAAGGCGACACAGGAGCAGGAGCAGAGCCGAACGCCCAGGCGGCAGGATCCTCCACTGCACATTCTACGAGAGCCTGCTCCTCGGAGGCTTCGAACTCTACAGCAGTGTCCCCCAAATGGAGGCTCGCAGGAGGGCCTTCGGCCTGGGGATCCTGCTCCGCCGCCTCGTCCTCAGACTCAGACTCCTTGAACCTGTCCGGTTCAGGGTCCACGTGCCGTCGCCTTCGGCGTCTGCCCGTGGCCCCCGGAAAGTCGGGCTGGAGGCTGGGGTCGGGGGGGCGAAGGAGGAGGGACCCTCCCACGAGACATAAGAATCCCGAATCTCGCCCTCAACAAGGTCAGCATCCTCCGAAAGATTCGCGTCGGCCTGGCTGGCCGTCTCTGCGCACACCTGCAAGACACTGGCACTGATGCCCTTGGCAAGCGGCAGGCACATACCTGGGGGATACATCTTCATGGACGCCCGGAAAAAACGGCCCTGGCCATGCTTCCCAAGGAGACAACGGTGGGCGCCAGGACCGTGGGAAGATTTACCCTGGCCGGGAGTGTTTCGAAGCTCGTTGTACAACGTTGGCGTACGAATGTTGACTATACAAGTGGGGGCCCTTCCGAAGCCAGCGGGGTCGGAATCGGGGGCCTGACGCTCACATGGGTCAAACACGCACGTGGCCGCACACGGGGCCGAGGCGACGGCCACAAGAGGAGGCCACCGGAAGGACGTCGGGGGGCCCACAAAGCGGGTGCAGGGTGCTCGAGCCAGGCCCCCGTCCCCGCTCGGAGGTGCTCCGCCATGAGGCGAACCAAAGCGTGTGAGAGCATGCATGCTGCCTACCCTCAGCTGCTCAGACTGTCGAGGTGAGCACCACGGGACTCCCCAAACAAATTCAGTAGACCTGAGGGGAGGGGGATCTTCTCCTGCCTGGCCGAGCCGCTGACCAAGTCTCGCAGGGGGGTCCCCCGCCCGTGTTGATGACATGATGTGCTCGGATGTGCTCGGCCCATTCCAAGATAGTCCCTTCCCTCGTGAGGTCGCCCCTGATCGGATCGATGGCAATGCCAATACTCAGCATAAGCACCTCCGCACTCGGGAGCAAAATCTGATTCTCAAGCTGCCATTGCAAATTTCCAGGCCTCCTCTCGCCAGTAAACGAATGCAAGGCGAGGACAGTTGGCCGGTGTATACGAATAGGTATAGACTCAGTGGCCACTGCAGTGTAACAATTGGCCGATAGTGATAACAGGTGGGATCCAACATAGGAGCAGGGTTCAACTTGAGCACGAATCTAGAATATATCGAGGACGGAGAAGGAGGGGGAGGAAGGAGGCGGCGGACGAGGAGGAACAGGAGGAGGAGGAGAAGGAGGAGGAGGAGGAGGGGGAGGGGGAAGAAAGGGGGGGGTAGAAGGAGGAGGAGGAGATGGAGGGAGGAGGAGGAGGAGGAGGAGGAGGAGGAGGGGAGGAAGAGGAGGAGAGGAGGAGGAGTAGGAGGTGGAGGAGGAGGAGGGGAGGAGGAGGATCGAGGGTGAGCAGTGAGGTGCAGGAGGAGCAGGAGGTGGAGGAGGAGGAGGAGGTGGATGGAGGGGAGGAGGGAAGGAGGTGGAGGAGGAGGAGGAGGAGGAGGAGGAGGAGTGTGGTGGAGAAGGAAAAGGAGGAGGAGATGAGGAGGAGGAGGAGGAGGAGGATGGGAGGGAGGAGCGGGAGGAGGAGGGGAGGAGAGGAGGTGGAGGAGGAGGAGGATGAGAGGAGGAGGAGGAGGTGGAGGAGGAGGAGGAGGGGGGGAGGAGGGAGGATAAGAGAGAGGAGGAGCAGGCGGCGGACGAGGAGGAAGGAGAGGAGTAGGAGGAGGAGGACCAGTGTAAACCCAAGAGTCATCAACGATGTTGGAATGAACCCTCCCTCCAAATTCCCTCTTCGCAGGCCGCTACAAGGGTTCACTGCCTCGTTGGAAGACAACCGTTTGACCATCCTGAAGCCTGCCACAACATGTCAACGCCACGTATCAACCTGATTGCTGCGTCTTGACGATCTGGAATCGTGTCAGAACACATGTTGGGGGACATCAACGCAGCGAATACATAATATTGACTGTGTGGCCCGCGTTTACCCCGTCCGTCCACTTTTCACCGTACCTTTTTACAATCCTGAACCTTCCAAAACACCAGTTCTGGCTAGTTGAGAGGGGGAGGGTGAGTAAGGAAGTAGGAAGGGAACGTTGGGAGGGGGTGGAGGGGTGTGAGGACGAGGAGGGTGAGGGAGGAGGGAGGCGAAGGAGGAGGCGAACGAGAGGAGGAGAGGAGGAGGACGGGGTGGAGGTGGAGGAGGAAGGAGGAGGGGAGGTGGAGGAGGGAGGTGGAGGAGAGGAGGAGGAGGTGGAGGAGGAGGTGGAGGAGGAGGAGGAGGAGGAGGTGGATGAAGAGGAGGAGGAGGAGGAGGAGGAGGAGGGAGGAGGGAGGTGGAGGAGGAGGTGGAGTAGGAAGGAGGAGGAGGAGGAGGAGGACCAGTGTGAACCCAAGGGTCATCAACGACGTTGGAATGAACCCTCCCTCCAAGCTCCCTCGCTCCAAGCTCCCTACAACGGTTCATTTCCATTGAGGAAGCTGCATCGTCGGAAGACAACCGTTTGAAGGTTCTGAGGTGCCAAAACATTGTCCTCGGGATTTCAACGCCACGTATCAACCTGACTGCTGCGCCTTGACGATCCGGAGTCGTGCCATAATGCCGCTTGGGGGATCTCAACACATCGCATCAACATAATTGTTGCACCCGCATAACCCTGAATCTTTTCAAGACTCAATTTCTGGTACGTTGATCATTGATCATGGGAATCCGTGACAGTGTTGAATTTTTTGAAACGGATGTGCGCGGCGCTAAGGCGAGAGCCACAGTTTGAAGACCACCCGCCTTCAATCCGTGAAACTCTTGCAACTTTTGAAAACGAATGCACGCGGCGCAAACCACCCGCTTTCAATCCGCGAAACTTCTGCATTAATTCAAAACGAATGTGAGCGGCGTCAAGGCGAGAGCCACATTCTGAAAATCACCCGCCATCTATGCGTGAAGCTCTCTCAAATTTTGAAAACGAATGTGAGCGGCGCTAAGGCGAGAGCCACATTCTGAAAATCACCCGCCCTCTATGCGTGAAGCCCTTGCAAATTTCGAAAACGAATGCGCGTGGCGCTAAGGCGAGAGCCACATGTTGAAACCACCCGCCCTCAATCTGTCAACCGGCTGTCACTTTTTAACCATTCGGGGTCATACATGGTGATGAAGTCTCAGGCGAAACGCCACGGCCCCCCTAAAAACTAGCCTCGGGGTGCGACTGGTATAAGTTACCTATAAGAAATGGAGGAGGAGGAGGAGGAGGAGGAGGAGGAAGAGGAGGAGGAGGAGGAGGAGGAGGAGGAGGAGGAGGAGCAGGAGGAGCAGGAGCAGGAGCAGGAGGAGGAGGAGGAGGAGGAGGAGGGGGAGGGGACAGAGGAGGAGGAGGAGGAGGAGGAGGAGGAGGAGGAGGAGGAGGAGGAGGAGAAGAAGGAGCGTGAGGCCACGGTAGGTTCACGCTTCGATGGCGCGCTGGCGACGCCGGCGAAGGCGTTCAAGGTTGAAGCCCACGTGATAGAACGACGCGGAAGCACCGAGGCACACTGTCACGCCACAGGACCCGATTGAATTCAACCTTGAATGATCTGGGCCGCGGTCGGTTCAAGGTTGAACGATCGGCGCGGTGTCAAAACCTCTGCGCGCGCCGACGCCGCACGAACCTACCGCAGCGGGTACTTCGAGCCTGTGGGCGTATTTCTGCTGTTTGTCATTTTAGCTCTGCCCGTTCAATCTTCGACGCTGGCCTCGCCTAATTTGTTCGCGATTTGCCTAGTTGGCTTCCCGCATTCTTTTTTCACCCGTGTCACGCTTCAGCTCCGTGGCTTTGCCCAGCGCAAGTCAGGAGCATGAACATATTTTCTTGGTACAGTCCGCCCTGGCAATTCCAAGAGAAGATCCGCCCAGACGCTGTGGAGGTACACCAGGGACGAGCTGGGGCTGGTCGCCTTGCGACTCGCTGCCCCGCCGACCATACCCCGCACAGCCATGGTTCACCAGTGGGGGCCCCGCGGACCAATCGCCAACGGGGGCTGCACAACCCTCCGACTGACCTCTTTGTTGCTCGAGGTTTTCGCAAGTTCTCGTCGGCCTCTCGTCCACACGGCTGGATCCGCCTCGAGAAGCGTGTCGGGATGGATCCAGAGAGGGATCCATGGACCGATTTTGAACGGACTCAGACTTGGGGGGGAATGGATGGCCGCCGGTCGCGGGAGGCGAAGGACTCGAATAGTGTTGGTCTTGGGGGCGCCTTCGCCCCAGATCTCCAGCGACGCGTTCTTTGCAAGAGTTGTGTGCTCTTCCCGACTTCGGACTCCTGGGGCCCGCCATTGGGCCCCATGACCATCAAAGACGTATGCTTGCCGAACACTTACCCCAGATCTTGTTAGGGGGTCCAGTTTCCTGGTGTCACCACCGTGGGAAGTCTTGTGGCCGCAAGTGTCCGTCGTGGTTTCGTTGCGCTCGGGGCCAGGGGCAAAGCACGAACCCGCTCGCTGCGGGAGGAGGGAGGAGGAGCTGGGATCGCCACGAAGGACGGGGAGGTGGGAGCCATGGGGCGGGGGTCAGTGCAAACAGGGGTCGGCCAGAGCGCCGGGTCGCGGATCTTGCAGGATCCTGAAACGCCCGGGTCACGTTGACCCAGGTCCGAGCGCAGGATCCTGCAGGATCGTGCAGGATGTTGCAGGATCCCGCAGCGCCCGAGTTTCACTGACCCGGGCCAGCGCGCAGGATCCTGCAGGATCGTGCAGGGCCCTGCAGCACCCTGCAGGGCTCGGCTGCCCCGGGGCTTGCGCTGGCCAAGGCTGGTCACATCTCCGAGGGCCCCGGGTCCTGAGGGCATCGGCCGGTCTCTCGGGCCCCCGAGGGGGCTCCACGGGCCCTTCGGGAGGTCACAGAGGCGGCTCGGGAGGAGGGAGGAGGGGGCGGTGCCGCGGGAGGAGGGCCAGTGCCGGTGGAGGGGGCAGAGGAGAGGTTGTCTGTCCTCTCCAGATTCGCGCATCATTATCTACGTCGTCGTCACCATCGTCGTCATCATCACCACAACCATCATCATCATCATCATCATCATCATCATCAGCAGCAGCAGCAGCAGCAGCATCATCATCAGCTAGGCGACTCCACGGGCCAGCGCCGCGGGAGGAGGGCCCGTCTCTCTCAGGACCCGGTTTTTCCGTGCCAAACGGGAGGTTCGAAGGTAATCGTTTTCCGATTCTTTGCCTTGCCGATCGGCGCGGGCCTTCGCACCCCCCTCGTGAGCGTGTTCTTACTTGGCGTTTCGACATTGGGCGGAAGGGGGGGTGTCTGCCTCCAGACCTCTGCTTAATGCGTCTGTTTGCAACAGTGGGAGGGGGGGAGGGTGCGAGGGCCCGTGCCGATCGGCAAAACAATGAATGAGAAAACGACCACCTCTCCCCCCCCAAGAACTAGATCTTGGCTGTTCTCGGTGCCTGTTTCGAGCTGGGGGAGTCTCCCCCATAGGACGCACTGATGCAAACAGTCGCACAAAGCAGAGGTTCAGAGCCAGACCCCTCCCCCTCCCCCCCCTTTCCGCCGAATGTTGAAACGCCGAAGCGAATACGAAAACGCTCACAAGTGGAAACGGGAGGCATGGGGACGAAGACCAGCAGCAGTTCTTATCCACTTTGAACAGCTATTGCTGTCGGTCTCGCTGCGGACGGTGGCTCTTTTCGACGACTGTCGCTTGCCTATGTTGTCCGTCCCGAGTCCCAGACCCTCGACGTCTTGACTTTTCACAGCGTGGTTCTTGTTGCGTACTCCTATCGCTACTCCTCATCTTTGTATCGCTCGCTCTCCTCGACAAGGAGGCCTGGGGCAAGGAGCTCGACCAGTCCTCGCAGAGCCCCGTGCAGCGAGTCGTGAAGCTGCTCAAGGACATGAAGGCCTGGCACCCCTACCCCAACTCCGCGGCCGCCCCTTTCCTCTTCTTCTTCGCCCTCATCATCATCATCATCATCATCATCATCACTTTGGCTCAAGCAAATGCGCTTCAGGTCAGGTCCTGAATGATGAGAGTCGCGCGTTTGACCCGCTCTCAGTGCAGCAGACTGGTGAGCATCGCCCCTCTCTTTTGCATCCTGACCAAACTAGTGCCGTCCGCAATGATTGGTGGTGGTGGTGGTGATCATCCGATGGAGCCGATAGGTATTGACGGAGACATTTTCGGCGCCCCTCCCGCGCAGAGGCCTCGGCTCTCCGCTCCTTTCGCCGCAGCCGCCGCAGCCTCCCGTCATGCAGTGCAAGAAGGGCTTGATGAGGGTCAAGCTCGACTCCTCCGTGCCATGGGTGGCATGATCAAGGACGCCACTGAGGTACAGACGGGGAAAATCGAAGAGATTCAGAAGAACGTCACGTCGGTCTCCGTGGAGGTCCGCTCCCTCAGCTCCCGCCAGCAGGCCCTAGAGGCTCGCATGGACGCCTACGAGAGTGGACAGCAGCAGAGAGGCGGAGGAGCTTCCCCAGCCTCAGGAGTGCACACACCATTGTCTACGACGCTCTCGGCGGCTATCTCGGCAGCATCCACAGCAGTGTTCATTCCCATGGGTAGACGAACAACGATATGTGTTGGTGGCTTCAAATACGATGCTAGCGACAAGCTTGTGGCACAGATCAAGACCGAACTCGACAGAGAGAACATCCTCTACGAGCGTGTCGTGGGTACTGGTTTTTATGGTGAACGTGTAAAAATACATTTCCGCAGCTCAGACCAGATGTGGGTTTGTCTCAAGAAGATGAAAGGCAGAAGGTTCAGTGGTGGTTCCCTTCGCCAGGCAGGTCGCACGGCTCTGTGGCACAACATCGACAAAGTCGGCTGGGAGATCGGTGTGAGCAAGCAGCAGGTGAAGGCCGCGGCGGAGCTCAAACCAGTCCTGGCAGCCCTCTTCCCGAACAGCCCGCAGCACAACTGGGACGCAGCCTTCGATATCAAGAACGACAGGGGGGGGGTCATCTTCCTGCCGATGTCGTTGCCAGGGAACGCCCACCAGGGTGGCCCCATCAAGGTGTACGACTGCGACAGGACCACCCACAAGATGAAGATCCCGCCCACAGCGAACGCGTTGCTGCAGGACCTGAGCATCGACCCCAAGCTCCAGACACACCTCAGTGAGATCCACGCTGTGGCGGATCCCTGAGGCGGCACTTCTCTTGCTATGCGTAGATGGCGACAGCGACGATTGGTCGACCATTCCTGTATCCTTTCTTGGAATGTCAGAATGATCTCGCTGAAGGGGTTGCCAATTTTTCTACGCGATCTTGAGAAAGAGTTCCCATGGTGCATGTTGCTTTTACAGGAATGCCTCGCCCTTCGCCGAGCAGAACCTCCAGAGCAGATCGACGGACATCGCCTTATTGTGGTCCCCCCAAGTGGCAAGGACAGGCAGAATGCGATCGTTGTCCATCGAGACTGTGGCTGGAAGGTCTTAAGCGTGGTCCAGGGCACCCGCTGCGTCGGCGCGTTGTGCGAGCATCCAGAATTCAATCGTGTCTTGGTGGGCTCCGCCCATCTGCACCCGTCAAAGGATAGGGCTCTTTTGATGGAGAGCCTGCGCGAGATTCGTCAGCACGTCCTCTCAGTCCCGAATGAGACTAAGGTTATTATCGGCGTTGATGCTAACGCCCACCTCGGTTCGGTCGCTGACTCCGATCTCTTTGCTGAGCATATAGGTCCCTATACTCGTTCTCCTGGTGAACCCCCTGTTCTGGATAGGCTAGTTTGGAAGGCCAAGGAGTTATTCATTACAATGTGCGATCTAGATCGTCGGGCGGAAAATACATACCATTGGTGTAAGTACGGTGTTCACACACATATTCCTGATCCTGGACAGCGTAGAGACCCCAAGCAGATAGACTACGTTCTCACACGACACTTCCATACGGGCACGGTCAGTTGTACGGTCGATTTCTCTACTGCTACCACCTCTGATCATCTCCCCCTACACCTACGTCTGCGGGTACGCGATCCTAGCAGTAACTGGACTCTGACAGCGGCTTCCCCTCCTCCGCCTCCCAAACCAATAAACTGGACTTGTTCGGATATCACGGCTTATCGAAACGCTCTCGACGACGCCCTCGAGGTCGATCGCACTGTGCACTGTTTCTTTCGGGACGACGAGGCTTTCGGACTCTTCCTGGATGGCTCTTTCTACGACACACTACCTAGGTATCGTAAGCGTGCGCGTGATCACCTCCGAGGATGTGCTGGCGTGGGCTTTGCACTCTTTCCCTCGGCGTCTCCGACGGCAGGCTCCTCTCCCTTAGCTTCAGCATGTGGCCCAGTATGCACTGGCCCTGAGGACCCACTCTTTGTGGGAGCGTGTAGAGAGTCGAACAACACGGCAGAGTTGACGGCACCCATTGAGGCCTTTCTGTGGTTGATTTTCCAGGACTCCCTCCCCGACAACATCAGGACGATCCCCCCCCAGGCCAAAATCAAGATGATCGTCGACTCTCGATATTGCCGACAGCTGATCTGGGGACGATGGCGGCCTCGATCCAATTTGAATCTGGTGTCCGTCATGCTGGCGCTGCGGCAGGACGTTTGCAGGCGCTACCAGGTGTGCTTGCCAGAGCGGCGCAAAGGTCACTCTCAAGATATGGGAAACACGGCGGTCGACCTACTGGCCAAGGAAGGAGCGGACCCTCGGTCCAAGCACCCCGCCCGAATCACTGTGCGACATTACACGCCTTCCTACTGGCCGCGAGAACCCTGGAGCAAGCTGACGGATTCCTGGACGCCGCCTCCTGGGGAAGAATCGACCTGGAAGATTCCACCGTGTTTCGCTCGTCGGCTGGAGGCCGACCCTATCCCGCCCCCCGCCTGCCTCCCCCTCCGCAAGAGACCCCGTCACCGTCGGTCCGAACATGCCCCCTCTCCGCTCCCTGCCCCCGCCCCCGCGACGCCCCCTCTGGAGCCCGATGGGGAACCTTTTAGACCCTGTACGGATGCCCATGGACGCCCTCTTCCCTCTTTACGCTTTCTGGCTGACGCCGTTTCGACCGCCGCCGCCGATCACGGACGTCGACGCAACCGGAGACCCCCCCCCCCAAGCCAGAGAAAGAAGAAGACGAAATCACCCGTACCCACCTCGAGGCTGTCAGATCTCTCCGACGAGCTGCCACGACGCAGCAGCTTCGACACTTTTACTGCGCGGCCGAGTCTCTGATCCGCCGCCAGCTGCAGCAGACTAAGTTCGCGTACGAGTGCGACTGGCTTCTCTCCAAAGGTCGCACAGACCGAAGCGCCCCGCCACCGACCTGGCAGGGGGCCATGTTTAACGAGCAAGGCGTCCTGACGACGGACCCCCAGGAGATCTTAGACCTTGCCGAGTCCTTCTTCGGAGATTTGCATCGGTCCAAAAACGTCATGCAGCTCCCCGATTGGATCCAGAAACGCTGGGACCGTTCGGCCCTCGAGGGCCTCGTCCAACTTTCTGGCGCTCGAGTTCGGCAAGTATTCCTTCGTATGAAACGTGGTAAGTCATGCCCCCGAAGCGAGTTACTCGTAGTCGAAATGTTCCTGGATGCCTCGGATGATTTCTTCGAGATCCTCGCCTCCCTCTTCGAACTTAGACTCCTGAATGACCCGTCGATGGACGAGCTCTGTGGCTGGGACGAGCACGATGTTCATCTTACCGAGAAAATGACCAACCCATTGCACATTAAGAAATGGCGCCCCATTGCTGTCCTCCCGGTGCTATGGAAAGCTTATATGCAGATACTGTCCGAGCTAGGCCGCATTGCAGATCGGCCACTGTCGCCGAATCAGTTTGCCTTTCGCCCTGCGCACCAGACGGCTGAGGTCATCTTTATTATTCGTCTCCTGGTTGAGAAAGCTATCGATTTTCGGATACCATTGCATATTGTTTCTGGGGATATGTATATATATATATATATACATGTTATGACTGTGTTGACCATGGTGCCTGGTGCCACGCTTCCAAGCTCGCCTCGGTGCCCGATGTCATTACCGCCGCCATGATCCGCGAAGTTAGACGCGGACGAGGCCGTCTCTTGCTTCCTCGCCTGCCTCCGTCGCAGCCGATATCTCGGACTCGATCGATATACCAGGGCGATCCAGATGGCCCTCGCAAGTGTAACCTCATTATGGAACATACTCTCATTCGTCCCTTCCTCTCCATTTGCAAGTCCAAGGGCTGGGGCTACCCTCTGGATTTTGAAGACGCACGCCCTTTGGGCTTCGAGTACTATGCGTACACCGGGAGGGGCGAGGATTCGCAGCAGATTCGAAGAGTCCCGTTACTCATCTTCGCCGACAACTTTTTGGCTGCTAGGTCTCACGCCGTCGATGGTGACCCTCATGACAGATGCTTGGAATAATCTAATACGGCTAGCAGGCTGGTGGGTGGACTTGAATGATATGCAGTGGACAGCGTCTGAGGATCACCAATCCCGACTGGCCGTGCATGATGTCTGGGCCCAGCCCCTCCCCCAGAGGTCCGCCGTGGCCCCTCGGCCCACCATGCGCCAGAAGAAAACCGAAGACATCGCCCTCCCCGTCTTTCACATCCCTTTCACTCCGAGAGAGCAGGGGATAAAGGTCCTGGGCCATCAGATCACCTTCGATAACAATGCGTCGGTCGAAGTGGACAGGCGCACACGTGCCGCCTGGAGTGCTTTTGCGCGCCATAAGAAACTGCTGACCACGAAGTGTGGCACCATCTCCAATAGGTTGAGATTGCTGCACAAAGTTGTCCTCCCCGCCCTGACCTACAACATCGGGGCCCTGCATCTCACCCATGACCATCTTCTGAAAATTCGGGCCGTCCAGATTGCTATGGAAAGACGTGTTATTAAACGCAAGTTGCCCCCCCCACCCCCGAAAACGACCCGCCCGGCCCCGACTACGACGACGACGACGACGAACAATGACCAGATGAAGGCCCCCGAGGTTCCTGAGACAGGCCACGTGGACCCAGATAAGTTGGACGAGTTCGAGGATTTCGAGGAGGACTTCTTGGGGGGCCATCTGGCGTACGTCAACCGTCTGAGGGCCCACTATCTAGATAAGTTAGGTCTCCAGAGATGGGACATAGTCTGTTTGTGCCGTGTTTTCGACTGGTGTGGCCACGTGTGTAGATTCCAGAAGTATGCCCCAGACAGGCTTGCACTCCTGGCCCTGCTGTGGAGGGGTCAACGCTTCCTGGCGGACGCCAAAACACGTGTTGGCTCCAAGCGCCACGGCCACAGTTTCAAACCTTGGAGATTCGAGGACCAATTTAAGTTTCTGATCAGTCAAGACTATCAGGAATTAGCCTCCGACCCAGAGATGTGGCAGGACAGCCGCACAGCCTGGTTGAAGAGCAGGCTCGGGCGGTCGTCGCGACGATGATCGCGCTCAGGCGCGCCCACGCCCGCCTCTCTTCCATCGCTGCTGTCTCTCTCACTTGCCCAGGTAGATCTGCCAGCCAGCGGGAGTTACACCTCCATTCAGGCTGAGTCGTATCGTATCGTATCATCAGCATCATCCGCCCAATCTTCCTCGTACTTCCTCCCCCTCAGCCTCTTCCACCTGCCAGGAGGCAGCAGGCGCGGCCTGCCGCGCCATCGGATCGGTCGTCCACCTCGACTCGGCGGCGTGCGTGCTCCCTTTCCTCCACCACGCCTGCGCCCTGCCCCCCCCTCAGCCTCTTCCACCTGCCAGGAGGCAGCAGGCGCGGCCTGCCGCGCCATCGGATCGGTCGTCCACCTCGCCTCGTCGGCGTGCGTGCCCCCTTTCCTCCACCACGCCTGCGTCCTTGCCCTCGCCTCTTCCTGTCCCCCCCCCCGCTCCCTCCCGGCGCCCTTCCCTCCCGCCTTCCTTGGGGGGCGCGTAGTGCATGGAAAGGGGGCGGGGGGGCGATGAATGGTAGGGGGGGGGGGGGGGGCAGCGGGGGCCGCAGAAAAGGAACCGATCAGGTCCCCTTACAGGGGCCCTTTAGGGCCCAGAAGGGGGCCTCTAGGGCCCGAAAAAGACATCTTCTTCACCCCCTCGATGATCACCCCACCAGTAATTAATTCGCGCCCAACATCCCGCCCCTGCTTCCATCCACCCGGGGGGGGGGGGGGTGCTGCGAGAGGGGGGAAGTTTGGGCCCCGTCGCAAGGGGGCCTCGCCGACCTGACCTCTACTTTGGCGCCGACCGAGACTGTGCGTGTGTGTGTGTGGTGTTTGTGTGTGTGTGTGTGTGTGAAGTGTGTGTGTGTGTGGTGTGTGGGTGTTTTGCTGTGTTGTTGTGTGAGTGTTGGTGTGTGTGGTGTTTTGGTGCGTTGGTGAGTGTATGTGGAAGTGGAAATGTACGTGTGTGTGAGTGTTTGTAAATGCGCGTGCGTGTAAGTGTGTGTAAGTGTGTGTGTGTGTGAGAGAGTGTATACGTGTGTGTGTGTGTGTGTACAAGCGTGTGAATGAATGCGCGCGTGTGTATGAGTGTGTGTTTGCGTGTTCAAAAAGGTGTGTGTTGTGTACGTGTGTGTTTGTGTGTAGACATGTGTTTGTGTACACATAAGTGTGCGTGTGTATACGTTCGTGTATTTAAACGTGTGTGTGCGTGCGCGTAGAAGCGTGTGTGTGTGTGTACGTGTGTAAGTGTGCGTGAGTGTGAGCAAGTGTGTGCAAGTGTGTGCAAGTGTGTCTATGTGTGTGTGAGTGTGCGAAGGTGTGTGTAAGTCTGTGACTGTGGTGAGTGTGTGTGTGTGAGTGTGTGTGTGAGTGTGTGGGTGTGTGTGTGTGCGTGTGTGTGTGTGTGTGTGTGAAAGTGTGTGTGTGTGTGTGTGTAATTGTGTGTGCTGTGTGTGTTGTGGGTGTTGTGTGTGTGTTGTGTGTATGTGTTGTTTGTGTATTGGGTTCGATGGCCTGCACCCTCGCTGCCATTCGCTGCGGTACGGCGACGTAGCCTGGCCAGCGGAGGGGGCCGAAGTGATCGGGGTGCGTCTTGCCCTGCAGTGCTCGGCTTCGGGAGGCCGTTTCTGCGCACCGGGGCCTGCAAGCAAATCGCTTCAGACAGAAAGCATGAGGGGGCCGAAAGGTCTCAGGCCAGGCCGGTGGCGACGCCCGCAGTTGTCTTCTTCTCTCACCTCTCTGTGCGTGACCCTCAAGGCGCACGCGTCACTGCGGAGTGTCCTGCGGCCTAGTGCCCCATGCAGGCGCCATTACACAGGGAGCGTTTATATGCTGACTGGCTGTCTTGCTCGCTCATCCCTCTCACAGCGAGGGGGCCGAGAGGTCTCCTTCGGGGCCCCTTGGAGGCGTTCGTGGAAGCGTCGTCTGGGGCCTCCCCAGAGCCCTTTTGGAGTGTCTCGGGGCCCTGAGGGCCTCGGACGGTGCCTCTTTCGGGGCATCTTGAGTAAATTTGGCGGGAGGGCCGAAGGGCCCTCTTGGGGGCCTCGTTGGAGGCTTTTCTGGAGGCATCGTGGGAGGCCCCTTCGGAGGTTCTTCGGGGCGTCTCGGGTCCTGGGCGCCTCTGACGGGACCCCCCCCACGGAGTGGTCCAGTGGAGGTTTTTGGAGAAGACGCCGTGGCCGAGGTGAGGCCCACAGTTTTGTGCGAAGCCGGCTTTCTTCTCCCAAGGGTCAGGCACAAGGCGACTCAAGACGAGCGCACGTTTCTCTGGACGTTTCCCGCGGTGCGTCCTGCGGCGGCAGTCGCCGCAAGACGGGCGCTCGCATGGCCCAAGATTGCGCCAAAAAGGCTCCAGGACAACCCAGGCGATCCCCCAAGACGGCGCCTGGGCTCCAGACGGCCCAAGAGGGCCCCAAGGGTCAGGTGGAGATTTCCTAACTGTCTGGTGGGCGCGTTGGAAACCATCTAGGGGCTGGGTCAATTTATCGGGGCGTGCTGGACGAACTATTTGAGGGAATGCTCTTTTATCAGGAATCGGTCGGGCGCACTATTCGACTACGGTTGGATCCTGAGGCCTTTTTTTTTCGGGGCCCCTCTTCGGCAGTCTTGCGGCACTCCAGTGCTGCCTTGGGACTGTCAGCCTCCCCCCCGTCCCCCGCGCTCCCCCTAAAAGTGACGCATGCTGCCGCTGCTTCTCCTCCACGTCCTTTTCCTTTTCCTCGTCCCTTCGTCCTCCATCCCCCGTGGCCTCGCCCACAGGCATGACGTCGATGAGGTGCAAGCGTGGCGCGAGGGTCACGAGAACAAGACTGGCTCTGCACGGGCAGTCTTATTTTCTTCGCGCTTTGGGCTCTCCACCTTGAACTGTGCCACCATTGTGTGCACCTCCGCGTGGGTTCTTGTGGTGCCCCTGGCCGGTGTTCTTGGGCGGCGTTACTGTGGTCATGTTTCTTGGAATCGATTGCCCCTCTGTTCTGAGACAGTTGTATAGGAGGGGGCACCGAGGACGGAGCGTTTACACAGTCTGGAGGAAGTAGTGAATTCAGTATGGGCCGGGCTTGGAGTGGTTCGAAGAAAGCGCGCGCACCCCTCTGTTCTGAGGCAGCTGCAGTGCCATGGGGATGTTGTGGGGCCACCATCCCGGCTTCAGCACACACACGAGACAGAGCCTCGGGCCACCGTCGTCATCCCCAGGCCTCGACGACGCTCGATTGAGTGAGGACGGGCGCGCCCGAGAAGGGGCACGCGGGACGGCCAGGGGGAGCCATCGTGCCGAGCACCCCCGTCCGCGTCACAGCCGCGCTCGATGCGAAGCCCACCGCGGTGCCACAGCGCCCGGGCTCGTTCCTAACTCGTGCAACGCGGTAGGACCCCAAGTTGGTTGGCACTTGAGCGCGCGCCCAGCGCAGCGCACGCGCGCGATGGCCCTAGTGCATACACCTATACAGGGAGAGGGCGGGAGTGTGGCTCTCTCTCTCTCTATTTCTCTCTGTCTCTGTCTCTCTATCTCTCTCTCCCTCTCTTTCTCACTTTCTCTCGCTCTGTCTCTCTCTCTCTCTCCCTCACTGTCGTTATCCATATGTATACCTTTCTCGCTCTTCCAATATCTTGTTCCCTCCCTTTCGCCGACATCTGCTTCTCGTTCACCCGGCTCTCCCTTCCGGTCCGCCCTTCCGGTCCTCCCCGTTCTCCGGCGCCCCCTCTTCCCCCCCCACCGGTCTCCTTTCCACATCCCGCACTCTCTTCCCAGCCCTCCACCTTCGTTCCCAGTTTCCCTGTCCCATCAAACACTTCTTCCCATCCTTCTCCCAACCTTCTCCGGTGAAGTCTCCATTCTCCAGCGCCCCCCCCCCCCGCCCACCCCCCTCCCTTCCAATCCCGCTCCTTCCTCCCAGCCCTCACCCGAATCCGCACGTTCCCTGCCCCATCAACCGCCTCTTCCCATCTGCCTCCCAACCCCCGCCAGTGAAGTCTCCGCGGGGGGGCCGTGGGGAGAGCCGTGCCAGGCCCAGCTGGAGGAGGAGGCCAGCAAGGAATCGGAGATGTACGACAAGGCGGGCGGCGCCTGCCCTCGGGGGCGCGATCTGGAGGGGGAGGAGGAGGGGGAAGAGGAGGGGGAAGAGGAGGAAAAGGGGGAAAAGGAGGAAACGGAGGAGGAGGAGGAGGAGGAGGGAGGAGGGAGGAGGGAGGAGGGAGGGGGAGGAGGGAGGGAGGGAGGGAGGGAGGGAGGGAGGGAGGGAGGGAGGGAGGGAGGGAGGGAGGGAGGGAGGGAGGAGGAGGAGGAGGAGGAGGAGGAGGAGGAGGAGGAGGAGGACGACAGCGAGCCGTGTCGATGCACTCACTCGCCGACCCTCAAGATGCTCACAAGTACGCCAAAGGCACTGATTTCCCTGCGGTGTTTGCGCATGTGTCAGCACGGTGCGAAAGCGATCGCCAGCTGGGGCGGGTGTCCGCGGAAGAGATGCGGGGGGATTGCGCTGCAAAGAACAATACGACAACGTTTCGACGCTTGGCGGCTTTGAGGTATCGTGGCCTGACTCTTTCGCCGTGCGCCTGCCCTTCGGACCCGAGACTCTTCGCCGCATTCCGAACGTGCCTTCCTCTCGCTGCGCGGGGGGTGCACGTGGGGCCTCCTGGGAGCTTTTGGGAATCTTCTTGGGGGCTATCGGGGCCCCTTTGAGGGCCGTTGGGACCTCGTGGGGGCGTCTCGGGCCGTCTTCAGATGGTCCGTCCGGCGCCTTCGGAGGCTGTCTTGGGGGCCTCTCTTGGCAATCTCGGGGCCCACGCAGGCCGCCTTGAGGGTTTTTCTTGGGTCGTCTTGGGGCCCTCTCGGGTCGTCTTGGGGCCCACTTCTGTGTCCTGTTGTGTCTGGGGGCCGTATTGGGGCGTCGGAGGTCAGAAAAGGCGAGAACGCGAAACCTTAAAAAACAACAGCACTATGAGCCATGTTTGCTTCTGGAAGCCTCTTCGGGGTCATCCTGGGACCCTCTTAGGAAGTCTTGGGGGCCTCACAGACTCATTCACATTCAGACTCACTCGCGCACGGACCTGCCCACACACGGATCACTCACTCTCATACGCATTCACATTCATGTTTGCTCACACTCAGGCTCACTGTCAGTCATAGTTTCTTTTCACAGCCCGATGCTCATCGCGATATAGCAAGCGTGGAGGAGCCGCCAGGAGGCTGGAGGTGTGCACGTTCGCGCCCAGAGTGAATGTCTCGATTTGATTGTCTGATTGCCCAGACTTGTTTCTTGGGGAGGTCCGATGCTCGCCGCGACATAACAGGCGTGACATCTGGGCGCCCCGAAGAGCCGCCAGGAGGATGACCGTGTGTACCTTCGCGGCACGATCGTGGGGATGCCTCAAACGGGTTGCCTGTTTGGTGGCCCGGGCTGTTTTTTTCACCATGCTCATCGCGATGTAGAAGACGTGGCATGCTGCGGCGATGCCTCGCGTGCTCTGCTTGCTGGTTTGACCAGACTTAAGTCGTGCCTATCCCCCTACAGAGGGGATATTTCAAAATAGTAAAAACAGTCAGGGGATTTGTTGTTGGAGTAATTTTTCACCATGCTCCTCGCGATGTAGCAGACGTGGCAGTGGAGCCCCCCAGAGGAGGCGCCGCCGGGGGGGGGGGGGGGGGGCAGGGCGCGTGCCCGTTCGCGCCCGTGCTGCGGCGACGCCTCGCGTGCTGTGCTTGCTGGTTTGCCCAGACTTAAGTCGGGCCTGGCCCTGCACAGAGGGAAAATTCAAAAATAGTCAAAAACACCCTTCGCGTCTTGTTTCTGAACAGCGGATCGCGCAAACTTGCAATCATATTGTTTCTAGTTTATCGAAAATGTTGTTCTCGTTGCAACACGGACCTCATTTTCGGATCGGCGCTGTGCTCCCGTCGTAGCGCTCCCGCCCCAACGTGGGCCGCTTCTGGATCCCGCAGGTCCCGAAGGTCTCGCAGGTCTCGCAGGCCTCACAGGTCCCACAGGACCCACAAGTGTTGCAGGTCGTCCCACAGGTGTCGCAGGTCTCGCAGGCCCGACAGGTCCCACAGGTCCCGCAGGTCCCACAGGTACCAGGGGTATGACATGTCTCACAGGTCCCGCAGGTCCCGCCGGTGCCACAGATTCCCACAGGTCTCGCAAGTCTCGCAGGTCCCACAGCAGGGCCCGCAGCAGGTCCCACAGGTCCTGCAGGTCGCCCCTGGTCCCACAGGTGTCGCAGGCCCCACAGAGGTCCCCCAGGGCACTTGGCTTCTCCTTTGCTCTTCGATGCTTTTCCCTCCCCCCCCCTCGTGGGGTCGGCGGGGGGGTCTGGGTAGTCGTGTTCTTTCCCCTTCCCGGGGTGGGGGCGAGGGGCAGGGGCCTCGGAGCTTTGGCGTTCGTCCCTCGGATGGTTTCGGTCTGCTTTTGTTCCTCCGTGGAGGCTCTCCGTTGTGAAGGCCTGACGGCCGGTGCCGCCGACCCTGGAAGACGTCGACGATTACGACCAGGAGGTGGAGGAGGAGGAGGAGGAGGAGGAGGAGGAGGAGGAGGCTCTCTATGTTTTCCCCTCGGCGAGGGGAGGGGGGAGGGCAGGGGGTGCGGGGAGGCGCCAGAGGGGGGGCCCGCACGGGCGGGGGGGCAGCCGCGCAGGGATTTCACGGGGGGGGAGGGTCTCAGGAGGGCCACCCCCAGGGGGGCTGGGGGGAGGCGCTGGGGCGTTGATGGACCAATTGTCCACCACCACCACCATAGGTAGGGCGGGGGAGGAGGGAGGATGGGGAGGTCCTCCTCCTCCTTCTTCTCCTCCTCCTCCACCTCCTCCTCCTACCTATGGTAGTGGTGGTGGGAAACCGGCCCAACAAGCGTGCCGGCTGGTTTCCTGCGCATGTCGTGTTGTCAGCGTGCGAGCACGAACAGCAAATCAAGGAGCATCCAATGGCGAAGAACAGCGATGGACAACAAACGGACATCAACGTAACATGTCAACAGCCATCAAGGACCGAATCATCAGCATCAAATGTTGACAAGCATCAATTCAATGAGAAATGTTCGAAAATCGAGCGTCGACGATCATCAACGAATTCGAATGGGGACGACAAGCAGTGGAAATCAGCGAATCGCGAATACAGTCAACCCGCACGGTAAGAATGGACAGCCTTCCCAAGGGTACCCTTGCATCCTTGCCCCCTCGGCGCATCCTTCGCCACGCTCGTTGGCCGCGCCCCGCTCGAAGAGCTTCGAATTGGGCGTCCAAGGCCCTTGCATCCTTATCGCGCATCCTTACTGCACGGGTTGACTGTAGCACCGAAAAGTCAATCAGAAACGAACGTTGGCGAACTTCAATCAAGCATTAGCTGCACTCTAAAGTTCATTAACTTATCAAGTTCTCCAACATCGAGCAGCGATGAAAACGACGAGGAGCCAATGGAACATACACAAACCAATAAACGTCGAGAAACAAACCGACGAGCAACGGAAGTCGACGAAGTGGATGGCATTCAGACCCCAACGAAAATCATATCAACAAGCACTGGCAACTAATGTTCATCGAAATCGTCGACCAGTGTACGAACACCAGTAAGCGACACGTGCGCGAGGACCCAGGAAGTTCCCCGGATGCCCGCAAGAAGCCACCCCGAGCAGCGAACGTTCGGTGGAGACGGAGGCTGTTATCAGTAGATGGGTGTTCAGGCGGTGGGCGGCGGTCGGTGGGCGGCGAGCGGGCTTGGATCATGTAATTCCTATAACTCACCACCCACCAAACCACCCAACCCATCCCGAAGGCTCAGATTTACCCTCGATTTCCAGCGGGGGGGTGGTCGGGAAACATCGAAAAAAACACATGTGGAACCCTTACCCCCCGCCAACCCGAAATTCGGGTCTTCGGGTTGGGTTGGGGTGGTCTGGTAGGTAGTCAATAACATCTAATGCTGATCTCTTGCAGCATGGGGCTATGTAGCTAGATAGGTGTTGTGTTGGAGACGAATGCCGTGTCGTGGACGGGCGTTGTGCCGGGAGGGAGGCTGTTGAGCAGTTGGTGTTATGTCGGAGACGGATGTTGGGCAGTGGAAGTTTGCATCGCTCGGGCATGTGCATGTTCTCTCTCGGCGAGCACCATCGCGAAGCATCCTGGATCGTCCGGCATGAAGGAGAAAACACGCGCGGAGCCAACACACGCACGGGGAAGGGGCGTCCGAGCGATACAGCGGGGGCCCATGCCCAGAAACACCGTGCTCGCCGCCAGGGTGCCATGGGTTTCTTGGACGTTCCCACACCGAGAATCCATGGGCGTCCTTCTCGTGGGAGGCTTCTTGTGGACGGGCCCCCACTGTAGCGAGCGAAGGGCGCCGCGCCTCCCCGCGTCGCTCCCTTCGCGCCCAGCCCCGAGCACGACCCTCCCCCCGGAACCTCCTCGGGGCTCGCCGCTCGCACGGCAAGCGGCGCAGGCCCGCCACCCTGCCGCGCCCCGCACGGCCGCTCCGCGGGGGCCCGCCGCCGCTGCCGCCGACGCCGACGACGACGACGACGACGTCAGCGACGAGGACGAAGATGGCGCGGCGCGGGCGCGCCGCCTCTCTTCCGCGCCCCGTCGGCTGGCCCCGCCCCGTCCTCGTGCGGCCTCCGCTTGGGGATGCGGCTCGTAAGGTCGGGGGAGGGCGAGTCGAGGCAGCGGCAGTTGGCCTTCGCTGGACCCCTCGTCGCCACGGTTGCCGGGAGGGGTCTGGGGCCTAGTCTTGAGCTGCCGTTGTCGCGGCTCGCCATGCTCCGAGTTGGTGGCGGTCCCTGTTTCCAGGGGGTGTGGGTCTCCGCGTGCCTGGCGCCCCCCTTTTTGGGAGCCCGCGCGCACCTTGCGCCCCTCGACCTGCGCCCCCTCTGGACCTTCCGCGCGGAAGAGGCCGCCGCGAGGCGGCGGCCGCGGCTGCGCGGCAGGTGTGGCACGGAAGGTGCAGACGGTGCCTGTCGATGGTCCTCATCGTCCGCCCTCCGCCTGGGAGAGGAGGAGGAGGAGGAGGAGGAGGAGGAGGAGGAGGAGGAGGAGGAGGAGGCGGAGGCGGAGGCGCGCAGGCGCAGGAGGAGGAGGAGGAGGAGGAGGAGGAGGCGCAGGCGGAGGAGCAGGAGGAGGAGGAGGAGGAGGAGGAGGAGGAGGAGGAGGAGGAGGAGGAGGGAGAGGAGGAGGAGGAGGAGGAGGAGGAGAGGAGGAGGAGGAGGAGGCGGAGGCGGAGGCGGAGGCGAGGAGGAGGAGGAGGAGGAGGAGGAGGAGGAGGAGGAGGAGGAGGAGGAGGAGGAGGAGGGGGAGGGGCGCAGGGCTTCGGAGGCCCGCGCGGATTTCTAGGGCGGGCGCTGGACACACACACACACACACACACACACACACACACACACACCACACACACACACACACACACACACACACACACACACACACACACACACACACACACACACACACACACACACACACACACACACACACACACACACACACACACACACATGGGCGGCGCCCGCAGCGCCGCCCCCTGGCGCGCTCCGCACGCCGGGCCCTGGGTGGTGGCGTCTGCCGCGCGGGCTTGTGTGGGGCATGTCCATCTGCAGCAGGAATCTTCAAGCATGGTGCAAAACAAAATCGTTGTTCGATGATTATTTGAATATGTTTGAGCAGTTGTTGAACAGGTTTTGTGTTTCGCCCCCCTGTAGCAGGGCTCGCCCGACCTAAACGCAGGCACTGCGAAGCGTTCTCTCGGGCCAGCTCCCCCGCGTCCCGCTGGCCCGCTCGCCTGATCCCCCCCCCGCGCGTCGTGGAGCAATCCAGACTGATTTGTTTCTGGCGGGGGCGACGTCTCGTCGTGCCAGATCGAGAGATGGAGAGAGACAGAGACGCCGGCGGCCGCCAGATGGTGTGCTGGTGCGAGACCGGCGAGAAGGACGGGGCTTTGCGGGTGGGGCCTGGCGGGAGGAGGAGGGGGGGAGCCCAAGGATGAAGCACGATGACCATGACCACGATGAGCATTTTGTTGGATGGATTTTCAAGCTCTCCGCCGCCTTCAGCGGTGTGCGTTCAGAGCGGGAGCGCAGCAAAGCCACAGGAAAGCGTGGCATTGACAGTGTAGCTCCGCGCACGTGTCAAATAACTAGTCGAGCGAGCAAGATGTCAGCAGGACCCAAGGACAGCGATACGTTGAGTGTCTACTTCTGCATGAGCACAGCATCGACATATATACTATATATATATGAACAAAGATGTCGCGGGATCTTGTCGACGCCTGTTTTGGACATGACCCATGCTGGCTGTCGCCGATTCGCGAGGCTAGTCCACGAGTTGGAGGTATGCCCCACAATCGGCACCGACGTGTCCGCGTTCAGTCTTGGTCATGGTCACTGTTTTCTTGCCCTCCAGGGAGGGAGGACTGCTATGGGGAGGGGGAGGGCGAGGGGGGAGGGATCGGGGAGACAGGACAGGGCAGAGGAGGGGTGAGGAGACGATGAGGCAGGGCAGGAGGAGGAGGAGGAGGAGGACAGTGGAGAGAGGAGGGCGTATCGTGCGGGGAAGATTGATATCCACTGGTCTTGGACTTTCTGAGGAAGGGGGCGCCAGAAGGCCGAGGCGCAGCGGATATGGATGACAGTGTAGCCTCTAGGGGCCAGCTGTTTTATCCATGTCCACTGCGCCTCTGGTTTCTGGGGAAGGGAGCCCGGAACTCCAAGGCGCAGTGGATATGGATATACCTCATGCCCGCAGATCGGGGGAATGAGGGGAGCGGGCCCTGTCGTGTGAGCACTCACTGGCTGCCCGCGGCAAGTCCCGCCGCCCTGCCAGGGGAGCAGCCCTGTGTGGCGACGGGGACCGCCCAGAATCAGCGGACGAAACATTGCAACAGACATGTTCCCGCCATCGCGGAAGCCTGCAGGGGTACAACGTTTCCAGGCTCGTTGGGACAGGCGTCCCCGATGGCAGAAAACATAAGTTGTATTGTGTTTCGTCCGCATACAGACGGCCGTAGTGACATTTCTCGTCTCCTGTTCCCAACCAACCTGTGTTGTTGGGTCCTCGTTTTGAAGAGACGGTCCCCGCGTCTCCTCCTCCTCCTCCTCCTCCTCCCTCCTCTCCTCCTCCCACGCTTCTCCCCCACATGCGCCTCCCCCACCCACAGCGCTTCGTGGCCCCACAGGGAGGTCCACCTAAGGCCCCAGTGGTGTGTATCACATGCGTCCCCCCCAACCAGTACAGCGCTTCGTGGCCCCATAGAGAGGTCCACCTAAGGCCCCAATTGTGTAACACATGCGTCTCCCCCACCCAGTACAACGTCTCGTGGCCCCGTAGGGGTTCCGCCGAAGGTCCCCGTGGCGCAGTCCGCATGCGTCTCCCTCACCCAGTACAGCGTTTCGTGGCCCCATATGGAGCCCCACCGAAAGCCCCCGTGGCGCAGTCCGAATGCGTCGCCCTCACCCAGTACAGCGCTTCGTGGCCCCATATGGAGCCTCACCGAAGGTCCCTTTGGCGCAGTCCGCATGCGTCTCCCCCACCCAGTACAACGTTTCGTGGCCCGAAAAGGGGGCTCCATCGAAGGTCCCCGTGGCGCAGTCCGCATGCGACTCCCTCACCCAGTACAGCGCTTCGTGGCCCCATATGGAGCCCCACCGAAGGCCCCCGTAGCGCAGTCCACATGCGTTTCCCCACACAGTACAGCGCTTCGTGGCCCCGTATGGAGCCCCACCGAAGGTCCCCGTGGCGCAGTCCGCATGCGTGTCCCCCACCCAGTACAGCGTTTGGTGGCCCCACAAAAGGGTTCCGCCGAAGGTCCCCGCGGCGCAGTCCGCATGTGTCTCCCCCACCCAGTACAACGTTTCGTGGCCCCATATGGGCTCCACCGAAGGTCCCCGTGGCGCAGTCCGCATGCGGTTCCCCCGCCCAGGTCAGCGTGTCGTGGCCCCATAGGGAGCCCCACCGAAGGTCCCCGTGGCGCAGTCCGCATGCGTCTCCAGTACCCGCGCCTCGCTCGCCCGTCGTCGCTCTGCCCAGCGGCAAGAGCTTTGCCCGCTATCGGCCAGCCAGCTAGCTCTCTTTGCTCCGCGCAGCGGACGACCCGCGCGCGTCGCTGGGACCCCTCCAGGGCGACCTGCGCGCGTCGCGGGGACTCCGCGCTGCGCTGCGCCCACAGCCTTGGACTTTTGAGTGTGCGGGCAAAGAGGGAGTAACAAAAAGACGAGGAAACGGGCGCGCTCCTCGCGGGGGGGCGCGCCGACATTGGCGTCGCGTCGCGCGGGCGATGCCGTCGGGGAGTCCTGGGGAAGCTCCTTGCGGCGGCCACGCCCAGCGTCACGAGCACTCAGAGGCAGCCCTACTCAAACTATTGACATTCATATACACTTACACCATGCTTTGTCATACTCGCATTCATGTGCGTAGACTCGCTCGCACGCATATTCATTCACAGTCAGACGTCCTCGCGCTCAGATTCACCCTCTCCCAGTCTCCCCACGTACTCCGATCAATCGTTTTCGTTCGCGTTGTGTACCACGCCACTCATGTCGGCACCCCCCTGCCACGGTTCGCTGCCTCATAGGGATCACCACCGGAAAAAATGAATCACAATTGCGGTACTCACACCTGCATATGGTTGGGTCCTTCGTCCGGTTAATTTTTGTTACGGGCTTTCATGGCTCATGGGCCCCAGTCGTGCACACCGTGGAGCACTATTGCAGCCCTGTTGGTCCGTCTTGGGTTCCTCTTTGGCGATTTCGGTGCCGTCTTTGGCTGTCTTGGACCCTTCCTGGGGATCTGGGGAGTCTCTTGGGGCTGGCTTTTGGCCTCTTGGGGTTCCCTTCGGCTATCCGGGCGCCTCCTTGGATTGTCCTCTTGGGTTCCCTGGAAGGTCTCCTGGGGCCCTCCTCGAGCTCGTTTGGCACACATGCTGTTCCCAGGCCCTCCTGCCACTGTTTTGAGCCGAGGGGCCCAGGAAACCCGAAATATTCGAATGCCCAGGGAACCCCGTGAATGCCTTCAGGTTGTTGCACGTTGTTGGCTTTCCTGGTGGGCCCGTTGGCCGTCTCTCTCTCTCTCTCTCTCTCGTGTCTCGGAAGTTCCTTTGAAGCCCCTTTGGCTCCTCTTTGGGGTCTTCTCGGGTGCCTCTGTGGGCCATCTTGGTTGCCTCGGTGACCTTCCGAGACCGTTTTGGAAGCCATGGGAGGCTTCGGGAGCTCCTGGGATGCGTCAGGGCCGACAAGGGAGTGCGGCTGGATGTGAGGAGACGGGTTAGGCGCGTGCGGCTGGGCGCGAGGAGAGGGAAAGGCCCCCAGAAGACGTGCTCGGGACTTGCGCGAACGCAAGTCGACGGATGAAGTCTGCACTGGTTCATTCGACATTGGCACTCGAGTGTACAGGTGCAGTCCCCTGTCGGTTTCGCTCGTCGACGTTCGTCTCGCCTGAAGTTGTTGTTTGGTTTGGGACCTCGATCAGCTACCCTGCCGGGGTCAACTCGAAATGTGGTGCCGTGCACATTTGGAGTGGCCTTGGCAGCTTTCACTCAAGGATGGTTTGCCAAAGGGCGGTCTATCAATCTTCGACTTACACAAGCCCTACCAGATCGAACTTGGCATTGCACCACGCCTGAACGTGCCAGGGGGCAAGATGGCGGATGAACGTCATGAGGATTATGACGATGGTGGTGTTGGCGGTGGTGGTGATTCTGGTGATTATCATGATGTTAGTGGGGAGGGGGAGGCGAAGGAGGAGGAGGGGGCGGATGTGGAGGAGGAGGATGGGGTGGAGGCGTGAGTGAGTGAGACAGGAGCCGAAAACACACACACACAGACACACATACATACATACATACACACATACACACCACACACACACACGCACGCACGCACGCACACACACACACACATACACACCACACACAAACGCACACACGCACACACGCACACGCACACGCACACGCACACGATCACGCACTCGCACACGCACACGCACACGCACACGCACACGCACATGCACACGCACACGCACACGCACACGCCTACGCACACGCACACGCACACGCACGCGCACAAGCACAAGCACACGCACGCATTCGCGCACGCGCGCGCGCACGCGCACGCATTCGCGCACGCACGCACGCACGCACGCACGCACGCACGCACGCGCGCGCACGCACGCACGCACGCACGCACGCACGCACACACGCACACACACACACACAACACACACAACACGCATACACACAAACACGGTTGATGTTGACGAGGAGGAGGAGGAGGAGGAGGAGGAGGAGGAGGAGGAGGAGGAGGAGGAGGAGAAAGAGGAAGAGGAGCACGAGGGCGAAGACGAGGACGAGGATGAGGAGGAGGAGGAGGAGGAGGAGGAGGAGGGTGAGGAGGAGGGAGAAAGGGGATTGCGACGAAGATTGAGAACGCACAGCTGCATGGACGTGACCCTTGGGAACACCCCTCTCCCCAATACGCCCTGCCTGCCGGCGTCCATGGAAAGTGGCGGGGGCAGGGGGGTGGGGCAATGGGCAGTGTGGGAGGGGTTGCGAGCGCCGACTCCTGAAGTCCATGCCAGCACCGCGCGGCTCCATCGAGTGTGCTGTGCTCGTGGCGCTTGCTGACTCCGAAGGCTCCAGGGAGAGCGTGGGGGGAGGAGGACGAGGAGGAGGAGGAGGCGGAGGAGGAGGAGGAATGGACAGGAGGAGGAGGATAATGAGGAGGAGGAGGAGGAGGAGGAGGAGGAGGAGGAGGAGGAGGAGGAGGATGGAGGAGGGCGAATTGTTGGCCTCGTCGTGACGGGCGGACGCAGCTCGGAAAACTGGAGCGTTGGGGTCCCGGGATGGGTCCAGGGACCTTTCCAGGCGGCTGCGGGGCGTCGCTTCGAAAACTTGTGAGAACCCCTTCTCACTTGCCCCCCCGGGCTCGCCGCCGAACCCTGGCAGGAGTCCAGGGACCGAGTTTGAGCTGCCGTTGTCTCAATTCGCCCCGCTCCGAGTCGGTGGCGGTCCCAGCTTCCAGGGGTGCGCGGGCCTCCACGTGCCTGGCGCCCCCCCGTTGTGCCACGTTGGGAACCCTCGCGCTTCCGTGTCCCATAGAGGAGGCGGAGGAGGCGGAGGAGGAGGAGGAGGAGGAGGAGGAGGAGGAGGAGGAGGAGGAGGAGGAGGAGGAGGAGGAGGAGGAGGAGGAGGAGGAGGAGGAGGAGGAGGAGGGAGGAGGAGGAGGAGGAGGGGAGGAGGAGGGGGGAGGGGAGGAGAGGAGGAGGAGGAGGGAGGGGAGGGGGAGGGGGAGGGGAGGAGGAGGAGGAGGAGGAGAGGAGGGAGGAGGAGTAGGAGGAGGAGGAGGAGGAGGAGGGAGAGGGGAGGAGGGAGGGGCGGAGGGGAGGGAGGGGGAGGGGGAGGGGAGGGGAGGAGGAAGGAGGAGGAGGAGGAGGAGGAGGAGGAAGGCGAGTGAGGAGGAGGAGGAGGAGGCGGAGGAGGAGGAGGAGGAGGAGGAGGAGGAGGAGGAGGAGGAGGACGAGGACGAGGAGGACGAGGAGGGGGGGAGGAGGAGGACATGCGCATCCGTCTCCCCTCGACCTGCGCCTTCCGCGCGGAAGGTGCCGCCGCCATGTCGCCGCGGCCGCCGGTCCGCGGCCTCCCGGCCCTTGCCGCGGCGAAGGTGCGGAAAGTGCAGGTCGAGGGCAGGGGCCGCTTCTTGGTACAGGTTTCTGGGCGTCGCAGCAAGAATTCTGGCGGCCAGCGTTGCATGGTTCTCAGATGAGGAAGAGGTGCCCGTACCTCTACCCTTTCGAACGTTTCCCCCGGTTCGGGCCTCCTGGGAGGCCCTCGTCGCCACCGCTGGACACGCCTCGAAATTCTGGCCAGAACGCGCCCCTGGAGAGGTCCGGGGAGTAGCGGTATTGGTACCCGTTGGTTTCCCCAAGTTCGGGCCTTCTGGCCTTTTGCTCTTGTGGCCATGCTGTGGCTGTAGAGGGAGGGAGGAGCATCGGGCGGGGCAGGGACAGGGATCAACTGTTCCAGAGCGTCCCGGAACGCTCTCCGAGAGTTCCAGGGCGCTCTGGCACGGCCGCGGTGCCCGACACGTCCTCCAGAACCGCCGGATCTCAGAGAGCCCCGCCTTATCCCGGTCGGCTGCTGTCCCTGCCCTGGCTGGGTCCGAGAGCAGGCGAGGGGGGCGAGGCCCCGCGCCGTGCCAGGAGAAGACGGCCGCCATCGCCGCCGCCGAGGTGAAGATCTCGGACCTGGAGGCGCGTTCGCCGCGCCCGGCTCCCACGCTCCCCCGCCCAGTCTTGCTCCCCGGCTCCAGGGGGTTGCGAAGCTGCCCCGGCCTCCTCCTCCTCCTCCTCCTCCTCCTCCTCCATCTCCTCCTATCTCCTCCTCCCCTCCCCCCTCTCCTCCCCCCCCTCCCCCTCCCCCCTCCTCCCCACATCCTCCTCCCCCCCCTCCCCCCCTCCTCCTCCTCCTCCTCCGTCTCTCTCCTCCTCCTCTCCTCCCCCCCTTCCATCCTCCTCCTCCTCCTCCTCCTCCTCCTCCTCCTCCTCCTCCTCCTCCTCCTCCTCCTCCTCCTCCTCCTCCTCCGCCTCCGCCTCCTCCGCCTCCTCCCTCTCCGCCTCCTCCTTGGGTCGCCCACGGCCCCGGGGGAGACCGTGCACAGGGTGGATGACAAGGCGTCAGCGCAGGACAATCTTGACCGCAGCCGCGGGAGGCAGCGCGCCAGAGCAATCTGATGTTGGCCGTGACCGCCGAAGGAACAGCTCACCAGCGCGGTCGAGCGCTCGTCTCGGTCGTGGTCGTTCTTGGAGGTGTTCCTGGCTCAGGCCGTCCTCATTGCTTGTTTTTCGTCGCGAGGCTTGCCTGCAGCGGCGCCTCGCCGAAAAAGCGTCCCGGGGGTGCCTGGATCGTCCCAAAGGGGCCGCCGGAGAACCGAGCTACGACGCAAAAACCAAAATCTCGGCGGCGAGAGAGGAGGGGGAAGTGAGAAGCAGGCGGCGGGGCTTCTCAGAAGCCCTCGCGTCTTCTGAGAAGCCGTCTGCGCCTTCGGGGAAGGCTTAGCAAACTTCGCAGAAGGTCTATCGTTGTCTATCGTCGTCTATCGTTGTACCTGACGCTCTCCGTCCCTTCATCAATAATTTCCCAGCTCTCTCGCGAGGCCAGAAGGCATCCGCTCACCAGTGGTCGCACAAATTGATATTGGGACTGGATCGCGTTCCCACCCAGCGATCGGCAGGCGCTCGCGTGCGGTCCCGCCTCCGGAAGGAACAAGCGCGGGCCACGCACGGGTGGGGGCGGAATTTCGGGGAATCCTTGCGTGGCGTTGCAGCGAGAGCATTATAGAACTAGCCTGTTCTCGGCCTGAGCGCGGCGAAGACGACACACGCGCCGCGCCGAACCTCAAGGGAGGAGAAACCATCCGGACCCGATACTTGGCGTTTGCTAAACGGCCCTGGGCGTTTCCTAAACAGCCAGGCCCTGCGTGATGCCTTCTGTGGGTGCGTTTACCAAACAGCTTCGCGCGTCGGGGTGATCATTATGGGGGTGGATGCTCTGCCCTCTACAGTCAACCTGCACAGTAAGGATGGGCAACCGTCCCAAGGGTACCCTTGCATCCTTGCCTCCTCGGTCCATCCTTCGCCACTTTCGTCGGCTGCGCCCCGCTCGAAAAGCTTTGAAATGGGCGTCCAAGGCCCGTGCATCCTTATCGCGCATCGTTATTATACGGATTGACTGTATTATGGGGGTGGATGTTCTGCACTCTAGAACAAGCACGGCCAACCTCACAGGACCCGCGCGGTGACCTGGCGGCGACGAACAACACACAGTCGGGAGCCTTGAGACGGGGGTTAATGCAACCGGGGGTCAGCCAGAGCGCCCGATCTAGCAGGATCCTGCAGGGCCAGGGTCGCATTGACCAGGGCCTGGGTGCAGGATCCTGATCCTTCGCGTTCACCCGGGTTTGGGTGCTGGATCTTGCAGGATTCTGCGAGGCTTGGCCCACCCGGGTCTGGGATTGACCCTGGCAAGAAGGTCCCCTGTACCGCCCGCACGCGCGCGGCTCGGCGGGCGGAGCCGGCGCCGCCCCCGCGGCGGGAGCCGCCTTTTCTGACGATGACGACGAGAACGGCGACGACGACGACGACGAGGACGACGACGACGACGAGGAGGAGGAGGAGGAGGAGGAGGAGGACGACGACGACGACAGGCCCGCGGAGGGGCCCAGGGGCCCGTTGTGAGTGGATGTGCCGTCGGGGGTCATGCCTCCTCGCCGAGGCCAGCTTGGGCGCTCCAGCCCCTCGCAAAGCCTCCCCTCCAGGTCCAGGGGGATGGGGGCACGGTCGGACCGAGGCATGAGGTCGAGGTCGCGTCGGGGGAGGGTACGTGCCCTCGATTGTTCTCCAGTTCTGGCCGGCGGAGTGTCTCATGCCCTGAGGGACGTTCTTATGACCTGGAGCTGTCGTCCTCGTCGGCGTCGTCCTCGTCGGCGCCGTCGTCGTCGTCGCTGTCGCCGCCGTCGTCGTCGTCGTCGTCGTCGTCGTCGTCGTCGTCGCCGTCGTCCTAGGTCTGGCCGTATGCACGGAGCTGGGGCGGGGGCGACGAGACTCCCGGCTGCGTGCGGCCTCACCCCCAACGACCTGGCGAGTGAAGTGCAGTCGAGCCCGACGGTAATGATGGGTAGCCTTCCCATGGGTACAGTGGAGGCCCTTGCCGCTTGCCAGGCAACACCCTGCTTGCCTCCAGGGTGCCATGGGTTTCTTGGGTTTCGACGGTTCTGCTGTGGAAAGCGCGACATCCCCCCCGAAAGTGGAAAGGAGAGCCCGATGGTAAGGATGGGTAACCTTTTCCAAGGGTGCCCTTGCATCCGTGTCTCTTTGGTCCACGGAGAAGAAACAGCGCCATAAGCAGAAAGTTGGGCGCTCCGCGCGGATTTCCTGGCCTGCGTTGGGCCCCTCCCCGGCGGCGCCTCCGGCGACGCCCCTGGCGCGCTCCGCGCGCCAGGGAGGGGGGTTCAGCGCAGATCCAAGAACTCCGCCCGGAGCGCGAACAAGGGCCTGACATCGCTCGGACGTGTGCATTTTTTCTCGGCGAGGACCATCGAGGAGCATCCTTGGCCATTTGGCGAGAAAACCACGCACGAAACCGAAAAAAACACAGGGAATGGAGGTCCGAGCGATGGCCAGAGGGGCTTGCAGCCTCCTCGCGCATTTTTGCGATCAGCTTTGACCGTGTACGCGCCGAGGCGGGAGCGCCACTCCTCAGTCGGCATTCGGAGGGAGCGCGACAGTTTCGTCCCAGCGCGCGCGGACGCCTTGGCAAGCGAAGAATGTGCGACGCGCCCCAGCGGGGCTTCCATCCGCGCGGGAGGTGAGCGCGGCGCCGGGGCGAGGGCGACGTTTCGCCCTGCCTCGAGCGGGATGTGCGCCCCGCCCCACTTCTGGCTCGCTTTTTCCCTCGTCGGCGAGAGAGCATCCACGCCGAGAGGGGAAGCGTCGAGGTTGAACTGCCAGCGGCGCCACAAGGCCGAGGCGCACTGGACGTGGATAAAGGTCGAGCCTCTGCGCGGCAAACTTATCCATATCCAGTGCGCCTCGGGTTTCTTGGGAAGGGAGCCCGAAACTCCATACTGCAGAGGATACAGACATAAGTATTGCTCGCACAGGTGGCCCAGGATCCTCGTCCCTGCTCCTCATCCTTCGCCTTCTCCTCCTTCTCCGCGCTCCTCCATCCTCCTCCTCCTCCTCCTCCTCCTCCTCCTCCTCCTCCTCCTCCTCCTCCTCCTCCTCCTCCTCCTCGCTCCTCCATCCTCCTCCTCGCTCGAGGATTCCGCGATGCGCAGGTTCGTGCCGTGTCGGCCGGCGGCGACCCCGCCGCGGGCGTGCAAGGCGGAGCGACCCGCGCGGCGTCGGACGCCAGCGACGGGGGTCGTGGGCGAGCCTGCTGCAGAGAGGGAGGAGGAGGAGGAGGAGGAGGAGGGAGGAGGAGGAGGAGGAGGGGGAGGGGGGAGGGGAGGGGGAGAGGGGGAGGAGGAGATGGAGGAGGAGAGGGAGGAGCGCGAGGAGCGCCGTGGCGGTATACCGTGGCTCCCAGGTGTGCTGGCTCCGCTAGCCTCCTCTCCTCCTGCCTTTTCCTCCTCCTCCCTCCTCCCCTCCTCTCTCCTCCTCCTCCTCCTCCTCCTCCTCCTCCTCCTCCTCCTCCTCCTCGATTCTGGGTGTACAAGGGTTTTTACGGCTTCTAGTCCTTTTCGGCTCGAACCTCACTTTCCGCCGCCTGGCCCTCTGCACCAGTCTGCCGGCCAGCCGCCGCGCCGCTCTGCAGTCGTGTTCGTTGCCGTCCACAGCAAAACAAAGATACCACAACCACCTAATCGTAAGTCGGGCCTGTCCCTCTACAGGGGGAATATTCAAAAATAGTACAAAAATAGTCTGGGGACCCGTTTTTTAGCATTTTGCTGCTAGTTTGGGGTATTCTTTGGGCATTTTCTCATTCTTCGCCCAACATCTGCCTCTAGGGGAACATGCACGACCTAAACCTAATAATCAAACAACACCATCTCCGACGTTGGCGGGAGCCCTCCGGTGAGCGCCGAGCGACCCAAGGGGATCTCTGACCACTTCTTGGATTAGCTGCCGCTGCCCATCGAGCAGCACCGAGGAGGAGAACACGACACGCAGAGCGATGGCGGCGGCACCCATCTCTGCTCAGCGGCGAAATCCGAAACCTGCACGCTGGTCGTTGAGCGGAAGTCCAATCTGTGTTCAGTGCCCTCCTACTTCATGTGTCTGCCCACTTCTTCCAAGCGCCGGGCACCGTCGCCGATCCACGATTCAGGCAACTCGATGGGGCTTGAACGACGACCCCTCTCTGAGCCGTTGCCCGCCGGAGGAGGAGGAGGAGGAGGAGGAGGACGTAGAAGGAGGGAGGAGCAGGAGGAGGAGGAGGAAGAGGAGGGAGGAGGGAGGAGGGAGGAGGAGGAGGAGGAGGAGGAGGAGGAGGAAGAGGAGGGATGAGGAGGAGGGAGGGAGGGAGAGAGGGATGGAGGAAGGGAGGGAGGGAGGCCGGCGTTCTCCTGCGCCTTTCCCCCCGCTTATCCCCGTCAGCTCCCTGGCCGCTCTGCCGCCGACAGCGTGCGCCGCGCGCGCCGTCGCGCGCCGTCGGCGCAGGCCTCGTCGGCGCCGTCGTCGTCGTCGTCGTCGTCGCCGTCGTCGTCGTCGTCGCCGTCGTCGTCTTCGTCGTCATCGTCGTCGTCGTCGTCGGCGCAAGGATTCTAGGCCTCCCAGGATGGGGTCAGAGCAGATGTTGTCGGAGGATCGCGCCGCATCTCCGATGTACCGGCGATGCGGCTCGATGTGGAGCCCGATCTTATCCACGCCGACGTCGCCGGTGCATCGCAGGCGTCGACGATGCATCGCAGACGTCGACGATGCATCGCCGATGTTTCGAAAATGCTTCGCGATCCTCCAACCCCATCTACTCGGACGCCATCCGGGAGGCCTCTAAGGATGGGGCCCTGATGGATGGGCCCTCAGGATAGGAAGCGGATGACCATTTGAACCTTCATTGTTTGAGGTTCTCGTCCTTCGGGCCTCCTCCGTCGTCTTCGTCGGCGCCGTCGTCATCGTCGTCGTCGCTGTGTCGGCGCAGGCATCCATCCAGTCGATGTCCGCGAAGTTCGGGGAGGTGAGCACCAACATCGCGGCGCTGAAGGAGCGCGGGTGCCGCGTCTGGTGGCTGCCGTGAGGGGGGAGCGTTGACGATTGCACGGTCCACGGTGTTTGTGATGTCGATCGAGACGGCGATGTTGATGTTGTTGATGTTGTTGATGTTGATGGTGGTGATGACGATGCTGACAATGATGATTACGATGATGATGTTGCTGATGATGGTGGTGGTGATGATGATGACGATGTTGATGGTGATTATGATGAGGATGAGTATGCTGGTAATGATGATGATATGATGATGATCATGATGATGCTGCTGATGATGATGAGGTTGATGATGTTGATGGTGATGCTGATGCTGATGCTGGTGCTGCTGATGATGATGATGATGGCGGTGGCGGTGGTGGTGATGGTGATGGTGATGGTGATGCTGATGCTGGTGGTGGTGATGGTGATGGTGATGGTGATGGTGATGGTGATGGTCATGGTGATGGTGGTGATGATGGTGATGATGATGATGATCATGAAGATACTGATAACGAATAATAGGAAGGTGGTGGTGATTCCAGTCGCCAGAGGAGCATGCTTGTTAAGAAAAATAGACTGGTTGAAGTCTGTCATGACCATCTTGACCGCCCCAGGTCCGGGCACCACCGAAGCGCTTGTGAGTTTGAGGCCGTCGAGGAAAAGCATCCCGTCCCTCGTAGCGTGCGGTTGCCCAACAGTCACAGGCGTTTGCGAAGAAGCTCTGCACTGGTCGGTTCGTTCCATGGGGACTACTACCGAAGGGCTTCGTTTGTAGGGTGCTGATCATGAAGGTGGCCCTCCTGCCATCCCAAGGATTGGCAGAGGCACCAGATGTCTGGAACTTCTCCTCGGGCCATCTTCTGGGGCCGCCCGCGGCAGCATGGCGAGAGAGGGGGGGCTTCGCCGGAACGAGCTCGTCATCTCCTGCGAGGTCTGGGCTCACAGCCTCACATGATGGGCCGATTTTCCACACCCGCCACTACCAGACGTAGGCGGGGGAGGAGGAGGGGGAGGAGGAGAAGGAGGAGGAGGAGGACCTCCTCATCCTCCCTTCTCCCCCGTCCGAGCTGTGGCAGTGGTGGTGGAAGAAAATTGGCCCACAGCCTCGCAGCTCCTCGAGCGGCGGCGGCGGCGGCGGAGCCCGCGGCGGACCCGGCCGCGGGCGCCGGCGCGGCTGGCCCCCTCGACGAGCCGCGGCGGCGGGGCAGCGCCGGAGGCGCGGCCGCTGCCCCGGATGCCGCGGCGGCGGGCGCCGCAGCACAGGTCGGGGGCGGAAAAGAGGGGGGTGATGATCATCGTCGACTAGGGGGGGGTGGATATCATGGCGTGGGCCATGATATTTCCCCAGATTTCATGGCGCCTCTTCTTATTTCATTACGTCCCTGGCCCCCCCCGCTGGGCCGCGCACATGCCACCGGTCATGAGTTGCACCCCCCCCTCTTGGACACCCCCCTCTTGGCCGCTCCCGATCAGGAATATTCAAAAATAGCCCCAAAAAATAGTCAGGGGACGATTCTTTGATTCTGTTTGCCTAATTCTGAGCATTTTTTGATTATCGTTAATTTTTCGTCCAAAATCCGCTTGTAGGGGGACATGCCCGACCGAACCCTATCACCATGCCCATCCACATCTCGAGCCCCACCGTCTCACCACCTCAGTCGGGGATATGCCCCTCGAAACCCGAAGAGAGCAGCCTACATCCCCATCAGAGGAGGTAAATCGGCCAGTGGGTCCAGCCCACGCTGGTGGGGATGGGGATCGGTTAAACGATGCTCAGCAGCTGGCGCGCCGCCCTGGCTTGGGAGGTCGCTGGGCTTAAGTCGGGCATGTCCCTCCCCAGACCCCCTCGGGCAATGAAAAAATCTTGACGGGAGGTTTTCCCGAGTTTTTGGCCTCTGGAGGCCCTAACCGGGCCTCTGGACCGTCAAAAAACGACTCGGGATGACAAACCGGTCCCGGGGAATAGGTCGAATCTTTTGGGGGTCGACGTCATGAAAAATTGTGACGTCGGGGGTCTGGGTCTGCAGGAGGAGTATTCAAAGATAGTAGGAAATAGTCTTGGGAGGATCTTTCGGTTTGCCCATTAACGAAATTGCTGGCAATATCTCACTTGTCTTCCAACATCCGAGTGTAGGAGGAGCTGCCCGACCTGACGCTGGGCGTGGCTGCCACCTCCGCCCGCCGCCGCAGGGCCGCCGTTGTCTGAAGCTGCCGCCGGGCAGCAGACTTCAGGGGAGGAGGGGCAAGAGCCCCGGCGTGCCCGCAAGACGTAAGTCGGGCATGCCCCTCTACAGGAGGTGTGTACAAAAATAGTGTGAACAAGTAGTGCGGGAACGATTTTAGGAGTGTGTTTTGGCATTCGTGGAGCATGTTTGGGGTATTTGGACCTTTCGCCCCAAATTCACCTGTAGGAGGACACGCCCGACCTAACGCAAGACCCCGCAGAGGCCTCTCAGGCCCACCCAGGAGCTCCCATAGTGGAACGAAAGATTGCATAAGCATAAGAACTCGGAGGTCCGCGCGGATTTCTCGGATCCGCGCTGGACCCCCTCCTTGGCGCGCGGAGCGCGCCAGGGGCGGCGCCGGAGGCGCCGCCAGGAAGATCCAGCGCCGATCCGAGAAATCCGCGCGGACTTCCAGTTTTTGCATGATTATGTCATTCTTTGTTCCCCTTATACCAATTTAAACGAGTGTGCAGACGATCCCAATTAGAAAGAGAAAGAATGAAGGAACGACGCGACCGAAGAGAGAAGGAGCCCCAGGGCGGACCTCCGAGTCACTACGTTGATGCCATTGCTCACTCCCCCATCCCAGGCGCTCCTGGGCGCTCCCAGGCGGTGCCGGGCGCTCCTCAGCGCTCCCGCGCGTTCCCAGGCGCTTCCCAGGCGCTCCCAGGGGCTGTCAGGCGCTCCCAGGCTCTCGCGGCGGGCGCTGCCCAGGACGCGCCCACGAGGCCTCCCAGAGGCCGCGGAGAGGCCCCCAAAGACGCCCACCTATGGGCCCCGCAGGCGCACACATCGTTGAGTTTTGGTCAGTCTTTTCAGGGTTTTCGCGTTCTCACTTGCTCGGTTCCCGGAGAACCCGAAAGCAGTCCAAGAGGATCACTACAACGCCAGCGCCTTTCGAGTCTAAGGGGCTCGCCTTGTTCTAGTTATTCTTTCCCCTCTTCTCTCCCCTCGCTCGTATCGGCAAGGATGGGCCAGGCCCCTGATTTCCGATCGCTGCTTCTCTGGCCCGGATATGGTAACCGCTGCTTCCCCCCGCGGAAGTTTGGACGCTCTGCAGAACAGAGGTTGATTTGGTCATCCCGATGTTGATCTTGCACTGGAAGGGCTCCTGTGTCTTGTTCTCGCCCGCCTCCTTTTTTCTCGAGCTGCACACTCACGGTTGTGCGTGCGTGGATGATGTCATCAATGCCCGCCGCGGTGGAACCCAGAGCCCTTCACAGCGGTTCCCCCACGCTGTGGTGGGACCTCCGCGCGAAATTAGCGTGCGAACGGCCGACGCGGTTGAGGGCTTCGCACCCATCGATACGGTTCCGTACATGTGGTCGCCGCTCGGCAGCACGCCCTCCGCTGGAGCGATCATATCTGGAGCGCTTACGGTCTGGGCGTTGGTTAAGGAATGCGCCCAGGAGGCTGCAAACGCTGGAGGATTCCTTATCTGATGAGGGCGGCGGTGATATTTATGGCCAAGCTTTGATTGGAGTTCCACCTGCTTCCAGCCCCTGGATTTCTTATCCAATGGTTCCTTATCCAATGCCCCCACCGTATCGTGGGGGGACGAAAAATGGCATAAACATAGAAACCGCGCGGATTTCCCGGATCCGCGCTGGACCCCCTAGCGGCGCCTCCGGCGCCGCCCTTGGCGCGCTCCGCGCGCCAGGGGGGGGGATCCAGCGCCGATCTGAGAAATCCGCGCGGACCTCCCAGTTTTGTTTGATCATGTAAGTCTGCGTTCCCCTTATACCAATTTAAACGAGTGTGCAGACGATCCCAATGAGAAAGAGAAAGAAGGAAGGAACGACGCGACCGAAGAAAGAAGGAGCCCCAGGGCAACGGCCTGAGGAAAAGGAGGAAAGCGATCTCGAGAGGAAGCCTTAGATTTTGCTGGAGAATTAAGCAGAGCGAAATCCGAACCGATTTGTCGCGTGAGGAAGGGTTACTCCGTGTAATTGGTTCTTGCACTATGTCAAGGCACTGGTCATAACAGATCAGGAAAAATTCAGCGAGAACCCCGTTTGGAAAAAACAAGCACCACGACGACCCACGATAGGCCGAAGTCGGTTACAAAACGGCCCTACGATACCCCTAAGACGGGCCCCATCCACCATGCGTCCAGGAGCTTCCGCGATGATCTGGGAGCCATCTGACGCGCCGAATGTCCCTCCAGTTCAGATGGCTCCACGCCGTCCGCAGAGCCCAATGGCCACCCAAGCGAGGCATTGGAAATCCATTTTGGGGCTATCTGGGGCCCCTCCGGGGTCCTGTGTGTCCGCTCATCGGAGTCTCCCTGGGCCCTCTTGTATAGCCGTCTTCGACCTAGAAGTTGGGAGTCTCAGAAATTCTGCCCTCCAGCCTAAGGCGTTCCATAGGTTTTGAATATCTTGGGTCATGCGGGGGGTCTCATTTTGGCCCTCGTGTAGCCATCTTCGACCTAAAATTTGGGAATTCCTTGAATCCTGCCCTCCAGCCTGAAGAATTCCTTCAGTTTTTGACTGTCTTGGGGGGGTCTCCGTACGCTCTATTGTGACCCGCTTCGAGTAATTTGGAAGCCCCGGGGGCCCGCCTCGGCACACCCGTCCCGCGGCGCTTTCAGGCAGGCGGCCCCGCGCTCGCCCCTAGAGCCCATAGCCACTCCCCGGGAGGTCCCGCACTCACATGGGGGGAAGGGGGTCCACGCCTGGGGCCCTCTCCCCTGGTATCCAGGTATCCACGTAATGCTCAGTTAGGGGCAACGTCCTCGGAGTCGGCTAGAGCCCAGCGCGCGCGTCGCGCGCTTGGTGCTTGTACGGATATCTAGAAGGACGCGCGTAAATCAGCACGCGCACGAACTCTCGCGAATCCGTCGTCAGTCTTGTCCGCTGCTGCGGTGTTCATATAACCAGTGAGCGTAATTCGTGTACACATTCATATATATATATATATATATATATATGTGTGTATGTGTGTACATGTGCTTAGGCATCACGCAACTTGCTTTGGAAGTGAGAGTTGTTAGGCCTTCGTAGACGGTAGCGGGCACAAGCCTTCCGGCCTCAGAAGCCGTCTGTCCCCGGAGAAGGTCAGACAGGTTCTCAGAAGGCCGGGGTGCTCTCGGCCTTTTGGGAAGGTCCGCTCCATTGCATTTCCCCCCTCGAAACGGCGCCGATACGTCACAGCGCCCGCCCCATATCAGCTGAATGGGTGCGTGATCGAAAAATAATTGTATGTTGGTGAGAATAATCTTCTGGGGATAAAAAGGGCGTCCAGGCAGGGGAATCAAATTCAAAGGAAAAATCGATGTTAGGATGTTTGGATCGCATGTCGCTTGAGACATCCTCACGATCAGAACTGCGATAGGAACTTGGGAGGGGATAGTAACGTTCGGCCTCCCCGCCTGCTGTTTCGATTGAACCACCTTCAATCCCGTCCTAAAGAGACACCCGGGGGAAGCTGGGATGCGTTATCATCCGGGGTTGCGATTGTCCGTGACCGAGTGCCCGAAGTTGTGACTCATCGTCTTGGCTTCGAACCCAGAAATACGGTCACACTCTGACGCGTTCGGACGCCGGTTTCGGTCATCGTCGCACAGATGTTCGAGCAACTTCTCGGCCACTGCACCCCTGATGCAGGCGAGGCTGCGTGCGATACAGTAGTAACTCGACCACAAGACACTTTCCACAAACAACAACCCTGAGACCCCAGGATGTTCTTTGGTTTGGGGTGTGGGGACATCACGTCTTCCATCGTAGAACCAGCGGAACCCAAGAAGCCCAGGGCACCCTGGAGACAGGCATAGTGTTTTTTGGCATGGGCTTCCTCTGTATACAGAATCTCGCCAGTCGTTTCAGGACCAGATCGCGAAGGACACGGAGATGCTCAAGGAGGCCACCGCCATCCGTGAGTCGGAGGCCCGTGGCGGGCGCCGCGCTGCGGCTGCACAGCTTCTGTTTTCGCTCTCCTCCTCTTCCTTCTCCCTCCTCTCCTTCTCCCCTCCTCCTCCTCCTCCTCCTCCTCCTTCCTCCCTCCTGCTCCTCCTCCTCCTCCCTCCCCTCCTCCTCCTCCTCCTCCTCCTCCTCCTCCCTCCTCCCTCCTCCTCCCCCTCCCCCTCCCCCTCCTCCTCTCCTCCTCTCCTCTTCCTCCTCCTCCCTCCTCCTCCTCCTCCTCCTCCTCCTCCCTCCTCCTCCTCCTCCTCCTCCTCCTCCTCCTCCTCTCCTTCCTCCTTCCTCCTCCTCCTCCTCCTCCTCCTCCTCCTCATCCTCCTCCCTCCCCCTCCCCCTCCCCCTCCCCCTCCCCCTCCTCCTCCCCCTCCTCCCTTCCCCTCCTTTTCCTCCTCCTCCTCCTCCCCCTCCTCCTCCACCTCCTCCTCCTCCTCCTCTACCTCCTCCTCCTCCTCCTCTCTTGACCGTCCTTCTCCTCCTGACCTTCTCTCTTCCTTCCTTTTCTATGTTCCTCCTCCCCCTCGTCCCTCCATCCCTGGCCTCCTCGCGCCGTGTTGCGACCCACGACGGGCAAGTTTTCGCAGTGTTCGCCTTCCCGGGGGGGGGCGGGGGGGGGGGCCTTACCAGGCCCTGGGGGACCGTCGGACAAGAGCTCCGGGTCCCCACGGGGGGGTCCCCACGGGGGAGGAGGGAGGAGGAGGAAGAGGAGGAAGAGGAGGAGGAGGAGGAGGAGGAGGACGAGGACGAGGACGAGGACGAGGACGAGGACAAGGACAAGGACTAGGACGACGTCGAGGACGAGGACGAGGAATAATTAGGAGGAGGAAGAGGAGGAGCCGGAGGAGGAAGAGGAGGAGGAGGAGGAGGAGGAGGAGGAGGAGGAGGACGAGGGCGAGGACAAGGACGAAGACGACGTCGAGGACGAGGACGAGGAGGAGGAGGAGCAGGAGGAGGAGGACGAGGACAAGGAGAAGCCAGGCTCCTGGGGAACAACGCCTCCCAGTGCCAGCGGTGCCGCAGGGCTGGGCGTCGGGCGCCCCGCGCGGGGGAGGAGGGGGAGGAGGAGGAGGAGGAGGAGGAGGAGGAGGAGGAGGAGGGGGGGGAGGAGGAGGAGGAGGAGGAGGGAGGAAGAGGAGGAAGAAAAAGAAGAAGACGAAGACGAAGACGATAATAATAAGAATAATAAGAAACATAAGAATAATAAGAAGAATAAGAAGAAGAAGAAGAAGAAGAAGAAGAGGAGGAGGAGGAAGAAGAAGAAGACGAAGAAGATAATAATAATAATAAGAAGAAGAAACATAATAATAAGAGGAGGAGGAGGAGGGGGAGGAGGAGGGGGAGGAGGAGGAGGGGGAGGAGGAGGGGGAGCAGGAGGAGGAGGAGGAGGAGGAGGAGGAGGAGGAGGAGGAGCGCTTCGGCCGAGGCCTCCAAGTTCAGGGACGAGGAGAAGGACATGGTGCAGGCGCCCCGTGGCCGCCGGCCCTGGCCGAGGGGCGGGGGGGGGAGACAACGGGGCTCACTTGGACTCCTCCGACTCGGTTCGGGGCGAGATGGTCATGATGGAGGCCGCGTGCGAACTTTACCCCCCCCCACCACCCCACGGTCTTTTCTAAGCGGGGAGGTGGGTTTCCCTTGGCTCGGGAGGCCCCGAGCGAAGTGACCCCCCCCCCAGGAGATATCGTGGGTGGGGCGGTGGGGTAGGGCTCGCATGGGCCGCCCAGGTGGGGCGGAGGAATCGGGGGCGACGGCCGACAGCAGCTCCTGTTCTTGGGCAGGGCTCGCTGCCGGTGCCGCGGCGGTACGTTGTCCACCCGGGCCAGGCGTCGCCTGCCCAGCACGCGGCCGCTGCCGGTCTCGGGCAACAATGCATTGTGGGCAACGTTCCGATGTTTGCATCGCCGTTTTCGGGCGTGCAAGTTACCCCCTGGCCTGCCCTGACAGAGGAATGGCGGAGGAGGAGGAGAAGGAGGAGAAGGAGGAGGAGGAGGAGGAGGATTATGGGGGAGAATGAGGAGGAGAATGAGGAGGAGGAGGAGGAGGAGGAGGAGGAGGAGGAGGAAGGAGGAGTGAGGAGTGAGGCCGCCAGGAGGGGCGAGCGCCAAAACACGCCACGTTCCCAGGGCATCGCCTGACACCGCTTGTGGTGGAGACCCCGTGCCGCCTCGGTGAGGAAGCCGGGCAGTGGCTCGTCCTGCCCGGCAAGCGGGGAGCCCGCTGGCCGACCGCCAGAGCTCACGAGAGCCGCCTGCAGCGTCGTGGGCTGTGCGGCCCAGTTCCAGCGCTGCCCTTCAGCGCCGCCGGGCTGCTGGGTTGACCTAACTGCGCCAGCACCGCAGGCGCTGCCTCCAGCCCTCTTGCGTCTCTCAGTGGCGAGGATAGGGGCGAATAGCCTAATAGCCCAGCGGAGAGCAATGCATCTATTCAGGTGCGCCGGTGATCTATGTCTTCGAAAAGGCTCCCGGGCGAGTACGCGTAATGCCCGCACCTGGGCTATTCGCCCCCATCGTCGCCGCCGAGTCTCTCCGCTGCCCCTCTCCCTCCCGTCTCCTTTCCCGCTCCTTGCCCCTGGCGTGCGCGCGCGCCTCATGCTGGGGGGCGCCCGCGGCGCAGGGTCCCTAGTTGTGCGTCCGTCTCTTCTGCCTCCCGGTTCTGTCATGGCTACTCCACCCTCCTCCTCATCCTCATCCTCCTCCGCCTCCTCCTCCTCCTCCTCCTCCTCCTCCTCCTCCTCCTCCTCCTCCTCCTCCTCCTCCTCCTCCTCCTCCTCCTCCTCCTCCTCCTCCTCCTCCTCCTCCTCCTCCTCCTCCTCCTCCTCCTCCTCCTCCTCCCCCCCGCCTCTGCGCTCTGCGCCGCAAGTCTTGCCTGCCCTGGAGGCGTGCCCGACAGCACGTGCGCCGCCGCGGCTGGAGTGCCCTTGGGCCCGGTCCTGACAACGGCACTGGCCCAGGCTGTGGTGGCGGCGAAACGTCGGGCCCTCACCCCCATGACCAGTGTCCCCCCTGTGCGACTGGGGTGGGGGCCCACTCCAGGGCCCCCGGGCCGAGGGAGAGGGAGTGAGGTGCGAGGAGGAGGAGGAGGAGGAGGAGGAGGAGGAGGAGGAGGAGGAGGAGGAGGAGGAGGAGGAGGAGGAGGATTGGAGGATTGGAGGATTGGAGATTGGAGGATTGGAGGAGGAGGAGGAGGAGGAGGAGGAAGGAGGAGGAGGAGGGAGGAGGCGGAGGATGAGGATGAGGATGAGGAGGAGGAGGAGGAGGAGGAGGAGGAGGAGGAGGAGGAGGAGGAGGAGGAGGAGGGGCGATGGAGAGGAGGGTGCGACGCATTGCGTCCACACCGCAAAGCCAACCTATGGCGTGGCGGTTTGGGTTGGCGCCCGCGGCAGACCTCCTCATAGTAGTCGAAGGAGACGGCGGCTGATGAGGTCGGACAAGGCGTGGCCGCCGCAGTAGCCGACTGCCTAGTAAGTGAAGTTTGCGGCAGCTGATGGAGTGGAGCAAGGCGTGGCCGACGCAGTAGTAAATGGCCCAGTAGTCGAAGGAGGGGGTTGAGGCGACCGTTTGGCTACAGTCGTCCAGCTGCTGGTGCTGCCAGGTGCGCGCGAGATCCAGGGCGGGGGGGGGCATGAGGAGGGAGAAGAGGAGGAGCTGATTTGACAGAGGTGTGCTGGTAAGGGTATCGCGCTCGCCACAAGGACGAGCAGATAATCGACGGCTGCACGTGGACTCTGATTCTCGTGCAAGCGGCATATCATTAGTGGTGCTCCAGGAGTGCAGGACGCGTGTCCGAAATAGTCGACGATTGCGAAGTCCTCGCAGTGCTGGTCCAGGAGCTGCGCTCGCGCATCCACGTGGGGTGGAGCACGTGGTGCAGTACAGAACCGTGAATCTGGCGCCCGCGCGTTGGATCCACGGATCCTTAGTCGATACTAGCACGCGCCCGATTCCTGGGCCTGGGGACCTTCAAGAGGACGAGAAGCAGATGCTGTGGAAGGTCCAGCTGGCCCAGGATGAGTCACGAGGGCGCTCTCGGGGCGTGTTGGAACGCTCGGCAACGGCGGCGGCGCCCGATGCGCTTTCCACAGGCGCGAGGTTTCGGAAATTCCCGATTTGACTTCTCATGCGAGCTTGTCC